CCCCTCCCCCCCCCCCCCAAACCCCACCTAATCGCCGAGCGCGGCTGGGGGCCGTGTCTTTTGGCGCGCCCGACCGCCCCCCCCCCCCCCCCCCCCCCAAGGGGAATCGCGGCTGGGAAGGCGTGCGGAACCATCGAATATCGGTTTGCCAGGCCAGAGGGGCTGGCCGGCCTCGGCATCAGATCTCTGTGGGCTGCGGCAAGTTGTCCCCACGTGCCTCCTTCGGCCATTTCTAGCGTTTCATGATCCGCTTGAATGACCACATACCAAGGGAGGATTGTTCGCCTCGTGCGAACCGCCGGCCCCGTTGACCCATTGGGGATGCCGGGATGGGTGATCCTGGCATCCCCGGCATGGCGGGGCACCTTCGTCCACGCAGTTTTAAAGTGCTTCATGTTCTCCTCGTTTAGCCGGCTCGGGCCAACCTTGTTGACGAAGTGATTGAGCTCTTTCTCTGGGTATTTGATGCAGGCATAGGAACAAACGTCGCTGTCTTCTTCCAGTTGAGATTCCAATTCATTCACCTTCTCAGGGACTCTGCATCGAGACCAGGAGCGAGTGGCGGTCATTTTGATGGAATTGACGAGAATATTTGAAGAAGAATGATTTGAACGGGATTCTATAGGTGGAAAAAAAACCAAGAAAAGAGAACGCGTCTTCAATGGCTTCGTTTTTGGTGAAGGGCACTACTACTACTACTACTACTACTACTACTACTACTACTACTACTACTACTACTACTACTTCACTGCACATTACATTAACTCCTTTCTACGCATCATCCTTTAACTTTGTCTGTCATTCCAATTTTCATATAACCAGCTCATCGCTAGCCTTGTGGCTTATTTTGCACCGGAAACAAATAATTGGCTTTCAGAATTAATTAGGCCAAAAAAAATTAGCCAGGCTTGCTTCATCGAAGTTGATGGATAAGTACGTTGATCAACCGAGATATCACGAAGGTCTGCCAATTCTTGGTCAAGTCAGTTCATTGAATTCGTCAAGCGTTAAAACATCACAGCCGCTCAAGGAACAAGAATAGAACATAGAAATACAAAAAAAGAAAAGAAAAGCGAAAAGCGAAAAAAAAAAAGAAGAAACGCAAAAGCCAAAACGTTTACACTCAGAAAAGAACATCCGAAAATAAGTAATTCAATCATAGCACATGAAACATAGAGCCTTCGTGCGCTCCCATAAAATATAGTAGTAACCGATATCAAACCATACCATGCCAATAGAGACCCCATGCCCATGCTCATATCCATATCAGACCTAAGCGACCCAATTCAAATCAGATAAAACAAATCCAAACTTGGTAATACCCATCATAGGCTCGAGAACCTATTTCACCCTGTGAATTAATCAAACCCTGCTCTCTGCTGTTTGTGCTGCCTAGCTAACTGCGCCACATTATTACGAGTCATGGAAAGTCGTTTTCGTTTCGATGCATTTGCAGTTTCATATCATATCATAGCGTATCATATCCCATTTAATAGTCATGGACAATCTTATTGTCATGAACTCTCGCTCGCTCTCTGTCTGTCTTTCTGTCTGCTTCTCCTAGGTATTATTATTCATGAGAATGAATGGATGAGTATGTGAGTGGGTTGATGAATAATTAAATTAAAGATGGGAGGGATGCGAAAAAGAGAAGAAATAAAATGAAAATAGAAAGAGGAAAAGAAAACAAGAGCGAGAAGGGATAAAAAAGAAAATGAGGTAAGATAAGAAGTGGAAAAAAAGACAAGAAACGAAAGATAAGTTATGGTAGAGAGAAAGGAGAAGCCCTAAGAAATAGCCGTCCTCATCTGTTGAAAGAGCTGCTGGAATGCCGGTAAGCCGACTTCCCTGTACTCCTGGAGATGTGGAAGCAGGAACGGAATGCCCGGAGCACCTTGGAAATGTTGCCGATAGAGCAGGAAATTCTGAGCCGGGTCGAGCAGGTACAGGATATCGGGCGGGAGGACGGGGTTCAGAGCTACGGTTCCGGAGGAGCTCGCTGTGGCGGAAAATGTGGAGTCCGTGATGCTGTATTTCTGTAGGCCCTTGAGGATGGCAGTAAAGGCGTGGTAGTTGCGGATGAGGAAGAGAGCCTGCGGTGATTGGAGTCAGAATTGAGAAGTGATTCGTCAGTCACTGGGTGAGTATACCTGAACGCAGTCTTGAATGGTCCCGATCAGTTGAGGCAGTGCAGTACAGCATTCCCAGACGACGGTGCTGAGATCGTCCCAGTGGCTTACAAGATTGCCCACTACAGCGTCGTTGTCCGTGAGACCCCGCTCGGTGAGGACCGCGAAACTCCTCATGTCGGCGTTGGTCAAGGTTCGTGCGAAATCGACGGCAGAGATCGATTCCGTGAGATCCTCAAAGAAGGTGTAGTTGATGTCAAATGGCTCGTGCCAATTCATGTCCCGCGCGTGGATGTAGACTCGTTGATACCGAACTCCCAGGACGGAAAGAACTTTCAAAACGGCCGTTAGGCTGGGAGGGTGCTCTTTAATCAGTTCCTGGATCGAGCCTGCAATGAATTCAAAGCCTGGGGCCGTGTTCAGTGATATGTTGTGGCTCGCCCCTCGATTCATAGTGATGAGGCATTGTGCTAGGGCACGGTGGGCGAACGGACTTCGGGTTCGAAGATGCTAAGTAAGATCAGTTTGAATCCTTGAGATACAATGGAAGATCTTCCTTGTTGATTTTTTGTCCTATTCCGAGGCCGGCTGACTGACCTTTTCGATCTCAATGTACTTTTCCACTTCGTCCGGAAACTCATGAAGATAGTTAAGCAAGTGGATGTATAAAGCCGTATGTTGCTGGAAGAACCAGTCGACTGTCGAGACACGGTATCCCAAGGAATAACGAACCATCTCCTCGAACGAGATCCGGGTGAAGTGAAGATGACTTTCGGCGTCGATCGCCTGGGCAATAGCGTTCGGGTCCAAGGCCCGATCCTTTTGGGTCGGGAACCAGCTCCAGGAAGCGCACGGCGGACTTATGACTTTGCACCGGCGCAAAATTTCCTCGACTTTCTGCACGTGCGATAAATTCAAGATGAAAGGCTTCTCCTGAGGCCCGAGGAGTGACAAAAGGAAGCTGTCGACGGTGGCTGCATTTCGGTTTTGTAAGGCGCGACGGGGCAGGTTTTCATCCTGGAAAAGACCGTAGCGGATGACTCGTTTGATCTCCTGGACGTCGAAAGCCCAGAGGACGGTGTCATCCTCCCAATATCGGTAGGAGACAAGGAAGGGAGGGATTTCAGCGCTGGGTCGAAAAAGCGAGGGATAACTTGACTGGTCTGGCATCAGGGTTGCGCCGGCCAGCTCAGCCCCAGGCCGGTGGGGTGAGACGCGCGACATATCACCGGGATCTGATACGGAATAATAGTCCCTCGGGGACGATTCGAAGAGGGTCTGAGACCAAGGTGAGAGCGCAGCTCGCTCGTCCTGATAATGATATTGCATCTTAGTTGGAGCATGAAGGGTGACGGCGAGGTCTCGACTGTAGGACGGCAATCGATGGAGAGAAAGAGAGACGGACGGAGGGCAGGGGAGGGGAAGAAGGGTTTTCTTCAGTACATACCAGCTCTCTTCTATGTCCTCCCACTGTCTCGCTTTCGTTCTCTTCGTTGGGCTCTCACGGCGTACAAACAGCTGAGTGATTCCCGAAACAAGGCGCTTATTCCCGCCACAATCCTAGAACCTGAGGGATTAGGGGGAGGGCCGCAGATGTACAGGTATACCCGAACCAAACCTCAGCTCCAACGTTTAAGCAATGAGAATGGAACTTAGTGAATCATGGGTCAATGGATCATTCAAGGATACCAGTAATGACTAAGAAGAAGGACGGGTTCCCAGGGAAGAGGTTTAGAGTCAGCCACTGCCGGCTAACCTTCACGTTTTGAGGGATGATGCTGGGGGAAGATAGTAGGGAATATGGAGTAAGACTATTGGGAAGATTCCGAACAGGTGGCTTTTAATTGCTCGGAATTGGTTCTAGTAATATATTGGTCTTTTTTTTTCGCCTTATTTTCTTCCTTGTTTCCTATGGGATTTCTTTTTTTCTTTTTTCTTTTCTTTTATTTTTCCTTTTTCAAAAAAAGAAAGCGAGAAAAAAGAAATTGATAGCAACACCCGCAGCAGCAAGTACTAGGATGACCTTATTGTCTCCCGATTTTGCCACGGTCGACAACTCACGAGGGAAAGCAAGACAGACTGGACCTGGATGTCTGCAATACTCTTCAGCTAGGAGGGAAGCATAGCGACAACAGTGGCGCGTTGCGATAGGAAAAACGCGAAAGGGGGGCTGATCCCGTTCCAAAGGACTGGGTCCCGAGAGCCCGGATAGAAAATAGAATAGTAATTTGATGATCAAAAAAAACTCTAACGGCAAGCTGAATATCTTCTGGGCGAGACCCGGAATGACTGGATGGAAGGTGGAAGTGGGCCAAATTAAAAAGATAGTCCGCCCCATCCATCAATCAATCATTGATCGACCCTCCCGTTAATAGGGAATTTACTAATATATGTTAAGCATTCAGGGCTCCCCCTTGAGGCCTTGAGCCAGCCGTTTGGCGAGCCAGACAAAATCGAGGGCACGGTTGACAGCTTGGAAAAAACGGCAGGAGAGGCGCAGGGCAACGCCAGAGGGCCAATCAATTGGACGGGGAGGGCTAGTGTAATCCTCTCATGGGGCTCCAGAAAAATCCGCGAGTTGGGTTGGCGACGGATGGCAAGCCCCCAAGATTGAGAATTATCAAAATCCTGTAATAACAGTGGCCAACGGCGGCAACCGAACAAACAATTGGCATAGAAGAGGAAGAGAAGCGGTCAAGAAGCCGGCATGGAACGGCGCACAGCGGCGAACACGATGCTGCAGGAGCATTAAATTCTGGAAGTTTCATCCGGATCGCCTATTTTATAGCAAATGACAAATGGCAAATGGATGGAAACCCGATGTTTTAGTGCTTTTCCACCGTAGCGGTGTACTGGGGTGGCTTGAATCCTGACGGTTGATACGGATAGCCATGGAGAGGGAAAGCGTCGGTGGTTGCTACCGAGAGCGATGCTTGATAGCCACCGTCCTAAACTAAGGGCGACTAAAATCCCAGGTCCCAGAATCGACGAGTGCCTAGGAATTGAGCCATCCCGAAGCTCCACCGCAGCCTCTTCCAATTGCCACCTCCCATGAAAGAGTTAGTTTGAGGGGGAAGGGGGCCAATGCGACTAGTTTAGCTCCTCATCCTCGTGAGAAGAGAGTACTCCGTAGCGCATTCGCCGATGATCGGGGGATAGCCGGTAGATACAGTTGCAGGCATTAGGATCACCGGTCTCTCCGAGGATTCCGAGTCGGCCAAGACCATTCTTTCGTTAATCTTGTGTTTACTTTTTGGAGTGTGTTTTTGGGGTTGCAGGATTGACGACAGAGAATGTTCAATAATTTCTTCCCGGGGTCCGGAGCAAGTGATTGCCATGATTGTCGCTGGAGAAATCAGGGGAGCAAAGCAACAAGGAAAGCGAAAGAAAGGAAAAAGAAAGCAGACGGCAGTGTCCGGGTGGATCCGGTGCCACAAGCCGGGGAGAGGCAGCGACAGAACGATGGGAGAGCGAAGCGCGCCATTTGTTGCTCGTGGCTGTGGATTAACGGTCATTCCTTCAGGCGAGCGAGCCATAAAAAAAAGGAAGGAAAAAAGAAATAACTCCAATAACGATTCCATGCCATCAATCAATCAATCAATCGGATGCATCGCTCAGCAGGTTTATTGGCTGGGCCGATCCCGATCACCAGATCGGTTGACACCATCATTGAATCATGGTCGCCTTGTTGCATGTCGCTGATGGGGTTTAGGAATTAGGTCCTCTCCATTCATTCGGTGGATTATGAGGATCAGAGACAAGGAAGAAACGAGCTGGAGATGGTCGTGGCGCAGGGGGATCGATCAAGTCGGAGTCCCCGCGACATGAGATGACGCCTGCTTGCCGTTCGTAGGATGAGTGAAATTGCTTTTCTTTGTTTAATCAAATGCTACTTGGCGGAGAACTGAGACTTGGAAATTAATTTCGAAATCGCAAGCGGAAGGTCAAGTCCTGGAGGGGAGTTGAGCGAGGTGAAATTTGCATCGGGGAGCGTAACAGGGATGAAGCACGTTGAGGTGCAGCAAAGCGAAAGTTTCTGGCCGTTGCCCACAGGACGGGAAATTCGCCGGCAACTCTTAAGATTGAAGGGAAGCGGGAAATGGGAATATGGGGGACATGCTCGTCTGTGTGACCTGCTGTTTCTTTTTTTCTTTTTTTTTTCTTTTGATTTCCATATTTTATCAAGATTTTATCAAGATTTTTTAATTTTTGTTGTTCCTTTTTCTCCCCTCTGTGTTGTCCCGCAGTATGTATCAATTCTCTTGACTCCCCTCCGCAGTACAGTACATCCGACATAATAAGACCCCAATCCTGCAGAAACAAGACGCTGCGAGCCGTCATCTCGAGCACATTGGCAGATGCCACGCTCTTGTTTGCTGGGTCCAGAGCTGACCTCGGACGCAACCTCATGCATTCCCATCAGCCATTGGAAGACCGGACGCCGCTGCGGGGACAACGGTCAACCAGCCTGCCTCTGCCTGCTTGCTTGCTGTACATCATGAAATGTACAGGCGAGGGTGAGCCAAAGCGGAGAATCCACAAAAAAAAAAAAAAAAAAAAAAATTGGAGGGTGTGTGTGTCTGTGTGTGGCAGAGAGCGTGGCGCCGTGCGAAGTTGATCCACCCTTTTCCGTTGCTGCATTACCTGGGCGAACCAGACAGACGCCTGCAAGAGTCGTCGGGATAAGAAAGAGACGGTACATACGACACCTATTAATAACTCTCTCCCTGGCGAGAAAGGTGCACGATGCTGGTTCGCTTCGGCATTCCGTCCCTGGTTCATTTACCCCTTCGATCTTGGTTTCAATGTACGGTCGTACCGGACGGATGTCTGTGTTGAATTCATTTGCTCACAACTAGCTGGAAATTATCGGCTAACGAACGAGGAGTTGGTAGTATGTACCTTAGCACAGGCACCGAGAGGAGAGTTTAGCGATGTAGTATGTCTCTGTTGTTCAGGAGCCAAATCAAGGCACAGGGAGAGAGAGAGACAGGGCGAGGCATCTATCCAGCGATCCAAGTAACCAACTAACTACCTAACCATCTCCCAACACCGTAGCACCGGTGCCTGTCTACCTGGACCTCTCCGGATGGTCCTGCTCGTATCTGTATCTGATTTGTCCATGTCACCCGGAGTACATTTCCCCGGCCACGCTGAGCCCTAAACTCAAGGAGGGTCGGAAAAGACTTAGATAGAGTCCATGACTGATGAGGGATAATCTTCGTCGTTTCCACACTTGGTCGGTCGAATGATGAATCCTTCCACTGAGATTTCCAATCGATGAGTAATTTAATTCAATATACTCAATCCTCTCGGCTTCTAGGCTTGCTCGACAGGAACAGGCATAGTGGTACACCGAGTATGCAACATTCGTCATGACTGTCTATCTCTTACCGTCTGATCTTCTCTGTCCAACTAATAGGATATCCTGCTTTGAGCCGAGTCATTTCTTCTGGCTCTCTACTTGCCTGTGTTCTAATTTTTTGGCTAGGGACTCTTGAAATACCTACTACCAGATCCCTACCCGCTCCTCTGACGAAACTGTCTGCACATCACTAGTTGCTAGTTCCTAGCGATAGTAGCCCTAGTTCCAAACCACCATCTCTCCCGTTCCAAATTCCGACGTAGTTTATCGATCACAACCAGCCCGCCAAACGGCCCGAGCCACAACCAGAGATCGCCCCCAAGAAACAAATTGAATGGACGGACAGACGGATGAGGTGGATAAATGAATGACTTGTCAGCGACCAACTACTACCTAAACTAAGGTAACGGACGGAGGCAGGTCCAGCACATCATCCACCTTCCCGGTCCACGCAATCGACTCGCTTGGCTGGCGGACTTGCACGGTCTGGCCCGTATTAATATATTTATATTAATATTATTAGGTATCTTACGTGCAGTAGGTAGGTAAGGTAATAAGTATAGATTGACAACTTAACTCCCGCCGTAGGGAGTGATTGCTTAATGTTTGGTTTGGTTGGATTTACGACCCATTCGACCATTCGAAGAGCAAATAATTAATCACGCCGAGGACTGCTAATCTCCCTGGGCGTGTGACTACTGAATTTGGGTAGTCAACCTACTGGCCTTGTTTCGCTTCCCTGCTTACTCTAATCTCTAGTCTTGACGGGGCTCATCTGGTGGAGACTGGGGAGCAGAGGAAAGGGAGGGGAGGGAGGGGAACCGACAAACGCTAACGTCTGCTACGAACTAGTCAGTAGTAACGAGTTAGTAGGTAGAGTAGAGATGGTGATGAAGTGCGATTCGATTCGATTTCGATGACTCGATTGGAGGATAGCTTGGCATGACGAATGAAAATAAAATCTTCTAAATTAATCGACAAACGACGACCCAAATATCCCCAAACAAGAAAATGGATCCCGTCGGGGAAGAGACAGATCCATCTTTCTTCTTATTGATAATTATTCCATTCGACCCTGGCATTGGATAACAAACTAGGTAGAAGACAAGGGGACAAGCAAGGCCAAGAAGAGTCCATAACAATGATAATAACAATGATGATTATAATTAAGATGATAATGAAAACGACCGCATACCAAACTAACCCCAATGATGACGAACCTGCAGGGAGAGAAAAAGAAAAGAAAGGAAACATGCGCTTACTACATACATACAAACCACCACCACCACAACCCACCCCAGCTACAAGATACACATAAGGGTGTAGTAGACGTGTTACACTCCCACTTGTGGCTCTCAGCTAGTATATATTAAGCCGGACGTACATCTCTCGGACGAATCGTCGCAGACTGTGGACGACAGGAACCATGGGTGAGGGCAAGTTCGCTAGGTAAGGTAGGTGCCGCGTGCCGTCTGACGGAGGATGCCCTTCCTTTTCCCCTCCTCTCGATCGAGATATATCAATCTCGGTGGGGGGAAGGGATGGGGGGAAATGTGAGACGTAGAGTGCGATGCGTTCAATCCATGGTGGGATGGAGGGGACGGGAAGCGGGAAACCCAGGAACCTTCCACACCCACCACATTTCTTAACGGGTTAACTTACGGGCTGCGGCGCCGTAGAAGTTCCCCGGGTTGCTCGTTCGTCGACCTAGATGACACTTCCATCTGACTTACGTCGACATCCGACGGCCAAGGGATGGGATTTATTGGCTGGATGCGGCGGTCGAGGCGGGAAGGCTGCATTCCGTACGGTTGGCGGGTTCTCTGACGTGAACGGAGTTGGCATTACGGGGAGGTGTGGAGAGGGAACTACGCCGGAAAGTGAGGGGAAAAGGTGATCTGTCAAGACATGGTCGAAGGAGTAATGGATGAAAATTCAAATCGCTTGAAAGACGTCATTAGAGGTATCACAGAAATTTTTGGGGAGACATTTTGCCTCGGCTTTGCTTCCTATACTGCGATAGCTACGGAACAGAAAGAAACTTGACACAAGCAGACACTTAACACATGCGTCCTATAGACAAAAACTTTTTTCTGCTAGGTAACGCATCATAAGAATCGTTATTAACCGGAGTCACACAGGCCCACAAAGCAAGACAAGACGTCCTCTCCAGCGGAGTTTTGGAGCAATTTTTTTTTCTTTGTTACTGCCAACAGCCAACATCCCTTACCATCCCAAGAACTTAGTTCTGGGAAGCATAGGCACGACGGCGGTCACGCTCCTCAGCAATGGTGAGCTGAATAGAATGTTAGCAATTGATTCCGTAGCCGATCGAGGCTTCAAAATATAAACGTACCTTGACACCCTTGCCCTTGGGCAGGGAGATCCAGGGCTTATCCTGTCCAATGACGAAGATGTTGGACTCACGGGTGGCGAAGGTGTTGTCAATAGCGTCCTTGACGTGGACGATGTTGAAACCTCCGTCGTGGCGCTCACGGTGAGTGACGACACCAACACGACCCATGTTACGACCACCGGTGACCATGGTGACAACACCAGTGTCGAAGCGGACGAAGTCAACGATCTTGCCAGTGGCAACGTCAACCTTCACGGTGTCGTTGACCTTGATGGCAGGGTCGGGGTAACGGATGCTGCAAGATCATATTCGTTAGCCAAACCAGTTCAAACGTCCGAACTTTCTTACTGTGTTGGGGGGGATAAAGTTGTCCAGTAGAAAGTTCTAGATCAAAAGTTCTCTCGTCCTCCGCCGATCAACCAAAGCTTGGTCCAACGACTGAATGACACGGAACTTGTGGAGTGATCACTCACGTTCGCGCATCGTGCGTAACCAAGAATGGGATCCCGCCCTTGCCGAGCTGAACACGCTTGACCTTGCAGAGCTTGAACTCAGCCTCCTCGGCCTGGATGCGGTGCACGGTGAAGCGGCCCTTGGTGTCGTAGATGAGACGGAAGTTCTCGCCGGTCTTCTCGATACCGATGACATCCATGAAACCGGCGGGGTAGGTAGGGTCGGTGCGGACCTTGCCGTCGACCTGGATCAGACGCTGCATCAGGATCGCCTTGGTCTCACGGCCGTTAAGGGCGTACTTGAGACTATATAAACACATCCAGTCAGTCGATTGTCCTCTTTCGTCAATTGTCGCGATATCATTTCAGAGTTTTTCGTACCGGTTGCGGATGAAGACGATCAGAGGCAGGCAGTCACGGAGCTTGTGAGGACCGGGAGAGGCCTTGGGGGCATAGGTTCCGGACATTTTGTCCAGGAGCCAGTGCGAGGGCGCACTAAGGCGCTTCTGGTGCTTCTTACTGTTGAAAGCATCGCGGTCAGTTTCGGTTTCCTATAGAATGAATTTCAATCGCATCGAAGATGTTCTGTTCCTTCAGAAAAACTTTCCGGACAGAAATCCTTGTGTGCAATTGAAATATGAAATCGAGAATGTCGTTGAACTCACGGTCCGCGAGGCATCTTGGCTGCTTTGTCGACTTGAAACCGGTGAAGTTGTCGGAATGTCGCAAAGAAGAGAAGGTAAGCAAGATTGGCCGTCCGTCGACAGATAACCAGGCCGCTCAGCGAAATTCGCTTAGTGCTGTGGGATGAGCCCTAGCGCTAGTCCTGTTCCAGGGTTCCACTTCGCAACCCATTCTAGGTATAGTGCATAACGCTAAACTTTGCATACGGTCCGCTTATATAATAATACATCCCAAAAGGGTAGTTAATTAATCTTGCTATGCCTCTATTTTCATGGAATTTTACTCCGTAGATCTCGTGACTGGGGACACTGAACGCCCTCTTTGCCGCTCTAAGCAGATGTCTGTCCTAATCTCCTTTAGATGTAGCCCTTGATCACAGCGACCTCAGCGTTGAGGATCGAGGATCCAGCAGCGCCAATAACAGTGTTGTGCGAGAGGGCCGCGAATCTGAGGTCAAAGTAACCACCCTGCGCGCCTTCACGTACCCGCCCCACGCTGACGGTATATCCACCGGAGATGTCTCGGTCGAGTCTAGGCTGAGGCCGATCGGCCTCGTCAAACACCTTGATCGCCTCCTTGGGTGCCGAAGGGCAGCCCAGCTTCTGTGCCTCGGACTGATATTCTCTCATCGCTTGGACGACTTGTTCGGCGCTAGGGCCGGGGCGGTTCTTGAATCGCAATGAAACAAAGGCCATATGGCCATCCGTAACTCCCACACGGGTACACGTAGCTCCGATTCTAAGGCCAGCTTGTTCGTTGAAAGCGGTAGCGTCCCCGTTCAAAGATCCCAGGATCTTCTGGGCCTCGTTTTCCAGTTTGTCTTCCTCGCCGCTGATGAAGGGGATGACGTTGTCGATGATATCCATGCTGGGAACTCCAGGGTATCCAGCCCCAGACAAAGCCTGTTCCGTGAAAACCTCGACTTCCTCGACCTCGCCGAACTTGGCTTGGAGGGCTGCGAACGGAATGACAACACCAATAACGGCACAGTTCGAGTTGCAAACCAGGAATCCCTTCTTCAAGCCGAAGTGCTTCCGCTGGTGAGGAATCAGATCCAAATGTTGAGGGTTGACGGTAGGGACAACGAGAGGGACGATAGGGTCCTTGCGATAGTTCTTGGCGTTCGAGAAGACGGGAATTTCGGCCTTGATGAATTCCATCTCTGTGTAAACTCGTTAGCACTTGCGATCATACCAAAAAAAATGGAAGTCGCATTTCTAACCAACTTCACCCGCAATGTCGCTGTTCAATCCGGAGAACACAAGGTCGCAGTCACTGAACTTATCCGCCTTGCAGTCTCGAAGCACAAGACCGCTGAGCTTCTCGGACATAGCAGTAGTCTGCTTCCATTTCACGGCATCCTTGTACTGCTTTCCGGCGGAGCGACTCGATGCGCCGATGGCGTGGAGCTCTAGGAAGGGGTGATCGGCGAGCAAAAGAATGAATCTTTGACCCACAGAGCCAGTGGCGCCGAGAACACCTATAAACCATGAGCACTGCATTATTTTGTGTTGAGGCTTCGTGTGTTCATACCGCACTTCTTCTTCGGGTAGGACGTCATTGCGATCGGATAAGGAATAGGTCAACGGACTCGTATCTGTATTCTTAGTCAATTGAGATTTTCAAGACCAATTTCTTTCAATCCAGCTCAAGTTCAACAGTGGCGCATAGGGAAAGCCCGTGGTGGGAGTATGATGCTCAAAGCTTGAACTGGTGCCATGGGCAAGTGACTCAGAAGATGCTGCCCCGCAGGACATTTGTGCAATTTCCGGTGGAGGGATTCAAGTAGTGCAGGAATTGAAGAATACTCTTGATCCAAAGGATTCAGGAAAACGATATGATTGAACTTACCACCTCAATGTTGTTTCAGACTCTATGGAAGGGAGAGGATTTGCTTGTGGCAATCAAGACGCAAACTGCGATATCGCTCTGGAAGAGATCACCCCGCGATGAGTCAGCCACCAGCATAACCAAATGCAGCTGGCCTCTTCATTGGCTCAACGTCACCTTGTTTTCTCCTCCGTTGCCTATCATGAACGATTAACTCGCAAATATCTTCGTTCTCTACATATTGTCTACCCCATATTAACAATGATATACAAAATTCTTTGGTGTCAGCGGAGTTCCTTTCCACAAGTCTCGCCAACCTGAGATATAGCGAAATATATTTTCGGCCGCAACCCGGCACCATCGTGCCCATCTAGATAGCAATTTCTTATGGTTCGCTTGGATGATCGAAGATCTTCCCAGGGTTTAGCAGCCAGTGAGGGTCAAGGGATGTTTTGATGCTGTGCATCACATCAATTGTTTCGGGACCGAGCTCCTTCTTAAGGGACTTCTTCTTACCCAAACCAACGCCATGTTCGCCCTGCTTACAGTCAGTCACAGTTTCTAGGGAATATTGTGGTTAAGGAGCATTACAGTGCTGGACCCCTCCATCTCAAGAGCTCGGTCAACCATGTCATAAACAAACTTCTCGACTCGTTCCCGCTCCTCGGGGTTTTTGCGGTCGAACATGATGCTAGAATGGAAATTGCCATCACCAATGTGTCCAAGAATGCTTGCAAACAAGCCTAGATCATCTAGCTCTTTCTTGGTGATCGCTGTGGAAATGAATTAGACGGCGTGAGGGCTTTCGACCGAATCGACCATGGACTTACCGATAATATCTGGGAGTCTAGAGACTGGCACGGCTACGTCGGTTGACCATACTTCCGAGCCTTCTTTTCGCAGCGCCATCATACTCCATAGGGCTTGTTTTCGGGCCGACCATAGATCGTTTGCCTCTCGCTCATTCTTAGCGAACTCGAAGGATGAGGCATGGTTCTGCTTGGCCAGAGCCTTGGTCAGGCTGATGCTATCGGCGACGCCAGCAGTCGTACCGGAAAACTTAAAGAAGAGCGTGGACAGTGTCTTCCATTCCCGCCCTGTGCCACCAGCTCGATTAATCACATCCATTTGGACATCATCTAGAATTTCCATACATTGAACTGGGATGCCTTTCCGAATTAGCTGCATAGCAGCCGATGCGGCATCATGCATCGTGGGGAAAGCGACAACTCCGACACGCGTTTCTTCTGGAATTGGGGTCAATTTGAGGGTGGCTTCTGTCACAATTCCCAGAGTTCCCTCGGAGCCGACAAACAATCCCGTCAGATTGTACCCGGCAGAGGTTTTCCGTGGGCGTCTGCGCGTCTTCATGATTCGGCCGTCCGCTAGGACAACCGTGAGATTGATGACCCAGTCCTTCATGGTACCATACCGCACTGCATTTGTGCCGCTACAGTTCGTTCCCACCATACCACCTATCATCGCGGACGGGCCTGGATCGACGGGAAAGAAAAGCCCACTGTCCTTGATTTTCTCATTCAGCTCCATCCATTGGATAGATGGTTGAACCACGACGTCCAAATCGCCCTCATGTAGCTCGATGATCTTATTCATGAGACCGAAATCGATGGTCATTCCGCCGTGAGGAGCGGAGAAATTGCCCTCAAGACTGGATCCTCCGGAGTAGGGAACCATCGGCATCTTATATTTGTGACAGATCTTCGCAATCTCCGAAACATCCTCCGTGCTGGTTGGATATGCAATGGCAACTGGCAATCGATCCGCATTGATACTGGACCATTCCGAAAACCCATGTCGCTGAAGGTCGTCTTCGTCGACACTAATTGCTTCTTCGCCGAGCTTTGCGCGCAATTCGGCAATAGCCTAGTGGTTCAGCGACACCCATTAGTCCTGCGGATTGGAAACAATTCACCCTCTAGGACTGCTCTTACCTTCTCAAAATCTTTTGTCGACCCATACTGGGGTTTTCGGGTGCTCTGCATCTGGGATGACTGTTTTAAGGAAGCGAATCCGTAGCCTACCCCCGCTGCCAGAGCAGAAGCAAGGAGCGTTCGGTTTAACGTCCACGAATTGGGAGTACTCCCCGGAGACTTGGAGCCATTACTTCCATTATTTTGTGCACTGGAGCTGTTCCATCGGGCAAATTGAGAGAATTGGGAGCATGACACCGAGTGCGACTTGGGAAATTTGGGCCGGCTTTGGAGCGCGCGGGGAGATGTGGGGAAGCCCCGAGAGAGTCGGGAGATGGTCCGCATGGCTCTATAGATATCCCAGGGTGACGGTAAGATCAGAACGCAGACCTCAGACAATGTTGGACACAATCGAGGTGTCGTTGACGGTCGGTCAGCTGCAATTTTAATATACACGGGTTCAAAGTCTTTCCGGTAGTACGGAGGATTAATCGACCACGCCTCCAGTCCCTTCGGTAAGCAGACACGCCATCGAAGCTAAGGATGAGGAGCAGGCTGTAGTAGGCTTTGGACTCGGATTTCGGCCGAGTACGGCTACGATCGCTGAACGATAAGGTCTGGAAGCCGAATACCGATATTATGACTGATGATGAAGCAGGTCTGCTTATCTTTCTTGCGTGCTTAGCGACTGCAACCGATCGTTCCCGTGTTGGTCTTAAGTGCATCCCACTCTCTCCCCGGATCGGCCTGAACTCCGATGCTTGGCAGGGGCGAGCCAGTCCGAGGTTTTTTGCGACAAATTCATGCTGTGCCTGTTAGATACTCGATAATATGCGGGAAATCATAGAGCATGTAGTAACAAAAACGACGTCTGAAAATATTGGCATATACGCAAGTATCCACGTGCCCTAAGTGGTTCTAGGTCCAGGTCCACAATCAGTTCCTTGATCGAAACCCACAACGGAGTATTCTATTTAATTTCGAGCAGGATCAAGTATATGAAAGAAGTTGGATTGATTACGCTGTATGATTTAGGGTTATTAAATCATGTCGACGGCAACGATGGAAGAAGAGGAAGGAGAGCATGAAGAACCGTTGTGGGTCCTCTGGTTGACGGGGCAACGAGGCCTCCCGCTTTTAATTTCCTCCACCCTCCAAATATCTGGGAGAGTGTCCAACTATCCATAGCACTGCGATGCTGGTCGGCAAGTCACGTCAACCAGTCAGCAACTGAGTCTGTCATAGGATTCAGTAACCGTAGCCATGGCAGATAACCTCTCTGGCCTGGGGCGTGAAGTGGAGCGCCTAGTGACGGCTCCATATGCGCCCTCTCTCCAGGTATTCCAAACCGCGCTACCCCATAGTTGTCTCCATCTATAGATTATCGCGAACTGAGTGATGACAAATCTTGCCTTTAGGACTTGCATGCACTTGTACAGAGCTCTTCTATAGCTTCATTATCTTCATGGGCCTCGCGCAAGCCATGCCAGGTTGGAGTCTTGGCTGATATCCTTGTCGACGGCCTGTCTCGTTCCAATTTCACTCTGGACCTCATTAGGACTTTCGGTAGGCAAAAGTGTTTGTCTTCTTCTATGTTGCAGGTCTAACTCTTTTTAGCTCGTCTCGAGCCTTTTCGTAACGCTTTACTTGAACGTTATCCCTATATATTGGACCAATTCCTGCAGAGGTCTGAAAATGGTGAACCCCAGGTGAGTTTCCTCTAAGCGGGTTCATGCCACCAAGCTCCCTAAACGACATGTATCTACTCGGAATGGTTCTGGGACATGACAGTCATCGTCAATCTGACCATTGCAGTTTATCTCGACATGCGTTGCAATGCTTTCTTCGCCTCTACCGCCCTACTTCATTGTCCCCGCACGCCTGGCATCCTTTATCACCCATCTGATTACCTCCATTGGCGAAAATCCCTGCGCTGAGACAATACTACCTCTCTATCAGCTGATGACTGGCCTTCGAACCACTCCGCGAGTTCTTCTTGAAGTTCCATCAGAGATCATATCTAACCTTCAAGTTGAGTTAACAAACACCCTTCGTAACCTTGATGACCATACAGGGAACCTCCTTTGCCTCGCAACGTTTGCGCAAATAGCATCCTCGAATATTCCCCAAATGAATAACAGTCCAGAGCAGCGCCCATCTTGGTTGCAGAATGTCAAGCATTTCTTCGGTTCCAAACGAGGCTTAAAGACCTTGGACCTTGTCGTTCTGCGAGTTATACTAACTTGCTCCGCCAGTTGCAATGGTTTAACTGCCGAGCAAGCAACGGAGAGTATCCGGCTAGCCATCGAAATATGTGACATTGTAGAACCGGAGCAGAGAGAATCTTGGATTGGTGCTAACTCCACCAAAATTGCCAAATTGTGCGAGAAGGTAACAAGGTCTGGCATTGATCGGGGAGTGCAGATTTTGGTAAGACCGAACCTCGCAGTTAGTTGACCATGGCTAACGTTTCAAGGGCGCAACTTTCATGGTTTCCCTTCTTCCGGCTTCTGCTTTACCTCATGGCATCCCCGAACTGGCGCTCCAGTGGCTTCTACATAAAGACGGTGATCGTGTACTCGAGCTCCTGCCATTGACCTACATTCCACGATTGGTAGAGGCAAACATTGTAAGTAATGGATTAATTGGGAACTATAAGGATTCTAACGCATTTTTCAAGGTATACTCGGGACCAGCGGTTGCAAACAAGCTGCTGGACTACGTGATCAGTTCATTGCAGCCAAACCAGGCAGCACAGACTCCAAGTATTAACACGACTCAGATAGCAAGGTCAATCCTTGCTGGCCTGCAGGGTCTGGAGTCCCAGATTCTTAGCTCCGCCGTTGCCGAAGTAGCGGTTAGACAGTGTCGGGAGAACATCAACGGGCTGCTTGAAAGATCCCCCCGGCGATATTCCGTAACAACCTGCCGAGACTTCGATACCTGTCAAGCTTCGGTGGTTCAATTGGAGAATGGCCTGCTTAATGATTTATTCAGCTTCTACTTTCGGTCAGCACTTATGATGAAGTCGAGTGGCCAGTTTGACTATGCGAATGAGATGAGTACGTTTGGGTTGTTCATCTCTAGATCCAATGAAGCTGTACCAGGCATCAGATGTCAGTTCTGGGAAACAAAACCTCTGGAGTTCCAAAACGCCTTTTCATCCCTCAAGATCCATGACCAGTCACCCAGCCCAAGACAAGACTGGCGAACCGGGATAGCCAAAACCCTTGAGTGGAATTCCCGCATGGGCTATGATAACATGATGCAAAAAATCGAAGAGATTTGTTACGATCTCGAAAACCGTTGCAATGGCGTCGAGGCCCCGTTGAGAGCAGTAGAGGACGAGCGCAACAGGCTGCTTAAAGAAGCGGAAGAACTGAACTCTCACAATAAAAAACTATATTCGGAGTTAAAGCAAGCATCCGGAACGACCTATAGTCTCCAACAAGATATTTTTCGCCTGGAATCTCAGGCAGAAACTGCCTCGAGCCGCATCGACCAGTTGTCGGCCAGTCTTGAAGTCGCACGGAAAGACCTCAACGACCAGCGACTCGAATCCCAAGAATCGGCCAACAGCGAGCGCGAACAAGCCAGGTCCAGAGAGTTAGAGCTTATTGCTTCTTCAACTGAAATGGAGGAAAAATTAGATGACTTACAAGAGAAAATTGTGATGCAAAGAGAGGAGAATGACAGCTTGAGGGAGGAATTGAATATGATGGGAGAAGAAAGGTCGGCTTACTCGAAGGTGAACGATTCTTTAGAACAACAGCTACTGGACTTGGAACGCGAGTTTGAGGCGCAGATGGAAGAGACGCACAGACACTTGGACCAGCAAAGCGACCGAATTGACCAACTCCTAGCTGATCAAAGCGAAGCCGGGAGTCGGGAGGAAGGGCTACAAGCTAAGGTAAGTCTTTGAGCTTCTTCTACTCATGTTCTTTGTAAGCGCTAACTAGTTTTCAGTTATCGGAGGAGGAACTGGAATCCGACAGGCTTAAGACCGCTCTTCAGCAGTTGGTGGAAAGCCACAAAACAGAAGTGAACACCCTTCAGGAGCACTTCGAGACACAGGTTTCCAAAATGACCGCCGAGGTTAGCCCTTTCTTCCTTTTGATTTTTCTCACCAGTTGAAATTCTAACAGCTCAAAGTCCGAAAAGCAAAGAGATGAAATTGCTTCTCTTCAGGCCGATATGCAGGCATCCGCATCTAGTGCCACCAAAGAGCTCCATGCAAGAGATAAGAGAATCCAGTACCTAGAGAAAAAGGTAATGAACATCCGAGAGACAAACGATTTCCCACAGAATGTAAGATTACTGACTTATATTTAGATACAACATATGCGAGATGAACGAGCAGCCAAAGCACGGGAATTCTCCGAAGCGCAGCAACACATCGGCCGGTTAATGAGTGTAATGGGCTTCAAACCGGAACCTGCAAACTCCAAGCCTCCCGGCAAGCAACAGCGGTCCAGACCAACGCCGGGCCCATCCCAGGTTGCCACGGAGGAGATGCAAACGCACTCTCCCGGGGAGGATACACAAAGCCAACAAGGCCGACAGATGGCGGAGTCGTTCGACCTCACTGCAACCCCAACCCCGCCTGGGGAGCGTAGTCCGAAAAGATCGCGGGATTATGCATTTGCCTTGACCGAATCACCGACAGCTTCTCACACATCTGGCAAGAAATCAAGGGAGTCGGTTTCTCGGCGTGGAACACAACATTCCCGGGACCGGAAAGTCCTGGAAGATGCAACCCAAAATAGCCAACCGATTACTCAGGCTAGCAGCATACCTTGCTCCAGTCAGCGAGATAGTTTTCAAGAAGGTCAAGTGGGCGGGGTGGATGATGAGAATCATTTGCGGGAAATTGACCTAGACATGGATATGGAGTTCTCCAAGGACTTCCTGTTTACAAGCACTTCGGTGTCTGAGGCGAATTACCACAGACCGCTACTTGGGACCCAAAGATAAGGTTTTATTGATGGGAAACGGAAGATTATGATTAATGATTTATTTATTTGGGACATTCTTGGGTTTGGTGTTAGATACTTAATGGCTCAGATTGTGCATAGGCTTTTACATGCTCCATAGCTGAAGAGAATGACCTCTTCTGGTACTGAGATCAAACGAAGCATATCACCTAACAGTTGAGCACATTCTAGGAAGCAAGACAGGGTACGTGAGCACCGTAGTCGGGGGGTTTGCCCGTTTCTCAGCTGGATAGCGTGAGGACTCTCACAACGCCATACCTCCTTCTTCCTCGCATGTTATCTCTTCCTCCTCACCCAGAAGGTGCCATGGGGCTACATACCAGTATATACTTATCTTTTCTGCATTTGCTTTGAGCCGTACTTTCTCACTTTGTCCTTTTTCGGAACGCGTCTCTTACTTTGGCCACTTTTCGGATATCTGCAGAATTATAAGACATTCTCACCGACTGTCTTGGAGATGAAAGATCAGTTCTCAAAGAGACCATATACGCTGCGGTTTGTCCTTTTTCTTTGAACCCACTCGCTCTTCACTCACACATTTGAATACCATGATTGCTCTTCAATTTTCCGTCTGTTGTTAATGGTAGACACTGACGCCGAGCTTACAGACCCGGAGACCATATAATACAGAGCTAGCGAGCGAATGATACGAGAGGCATACGATTTTTGAAGTGATGGAAGATCAGGAGAATAACAGAAATATGATTCATCCCTGGAGTCTGGAGAGGGGACTGGCTAGGCTGACGGGCAATACACCTGGGCACTACAGACCGTCAGTCGTTTTCTTCTACGTATCAAAAGTCGAGGAGTGAAGTCTAACTTGCATCTTCTTTCTTCACTACAAAAGTTCTTGGGGAATAAACCCTTCTGAAAGCACCAACCCAAACAAGGCCGGCCAGGGTTGCCGTTGCCAGCCTAGAAAGAACGTCTGCCCGCATCGAGTCCTCAAGACCTTCTCTCGCTCCTCATCTCCGCATCCATTTTCATCCTCATCCTCCCTCTATTCAAACTCATCCTCAGCTCACTTTTGGATTGATAAACCTTCTAAAACATCCATTACCATGCCTACGCCACCTCGCAAACGTCAGAATCCCCTCAAATTGCCAACCCGACAAGCCAGAACTTCACACCAACAACTTCCACCGCAGATACTGGCGCCATGGAAGTCTTGGGGCTCGGTCGCAATCAAAATCTCCAATGTTCCAAAAGAGGTGACAGCATTCCATATATGGCAAGCTTTTAACAAGGAGGGTAATATTTTCTCCATCGATCTGTTTGAAGACTCTCATGGTAAACGTGGGGCGAAGGGGAAGATTCGTTTTAAGTATGGTGCATAAGTCTCATGTTGTTTACCATTCCTAATAATCCACAGGCCTCCACCGCAGGCAGACTTTTGGAGAACAGGAGAGTATACCATTTGCCTGCCCAATGGGCAATCGTGTACTGTCGCGGTTGCTCTCGACATCAATCATGATGAGCCACGGATTGCAAGTCCAGTCCGACCTAATGTCAACTACCCGGCTGAACTGGTGAGCAATCACCCTGTCTATGATTTTCATAATTCTCCATGTTGTCTCTGACATTATCTCACCTTATAAGAAAATCCCAATCTCTTCTATGGAAATTGGTGTCTTGCTTGATGACAAAACTTTCTTGCCCCAGCGCACAGTCGGCCAAGGACCTAGCGAAACTGCTTACTTGGTACTTGATCTGAAAGCCCGAGCCCTTTATGTCCGCTTTCAGCTTGCCATTTCGTTTTCAAGACCAGCAGAGAATCAACTCAACGATCCATACCACGAGTATCGTCTGAAAATAGCATTGGTGCAATTGGCTGAAATCCATCATGCTATTGACCCTACCTCCAAAGTAGTCTCCCACTTCACTGTACTAGATACGCCTCCGGTTTATCATCGACGCATCACCAATATTGAGCACACCTTCATAGACGACAATACATGGAGGGAATCTGATAGATGGTACCGGCAGACCTACATTGTTCGCCGGCCGGAGGAGTTGTCATCTCTTCCTGTCAATTTGAGCAGGAGCAATTCGGTGATTGATATTGGTGCGTGTCCCACCCCTTTAGAATTTCTGTTGTTCTGCTCTCGGGGCTTACTAGTCATCTTCCTGGAACAGGGCGCTGGAATGCCTTTTGGATCACGTATCCAAAAGAAGCTCATCAGAAAGGCCAATTCACTTTATTGCAGAATATCCTCGCTGACTACAATGTGAAAATAAGCGCCACGGGCTCCTTCTCTCGCTGGGATGAGAATAGAGAGCAAATGCCTCAGGTTTGGAAATGGATCGAGGCCCCGAAACATTCCCAATCCTCTTTGGAAGAGTTGAATGACTATAGCTATGTCCACTTACCTCCCCCTGTTCGATACCAACTCGAGGTATGCCTATCAAATGGGTACCTTTCTGAATACACCATGACTCGTGATTTCGTGGTCAAACTCTCGGAACTCGGCGATGATCGGGCTAAAAAGCTTTTGGAGCATGTGGCATCCAAAAATCAAATTTACCGTGATCCAATGAAGATATTTGATCTCAAGTTCATCAAGGGAGTGACTGATCTGAAAATCCCGCCTTACTGCTGTTATATGCGCTCCGCCAGAATCACCCCTAGCACCATCTACTACAACACCCCGACGGTTGACATCTCGAATCGTATCATAAGGCGTTATATAGAACACGCCGATCACTTTCTCCGAATTCGTTTCACAGACGAAAAGCTCCTTGGTCGAATCAACTCCACTACCGACAACACCATGGATGAAGTGTTTACCAGAATCAAAAGAGCGCTGTCAAATGGAATTGTCATCGGCAACACGCATTATGAGTTTCTTGCATTTGGAAACTCGCAGTTCCGGGAGCACGGGGCCTATTTTTTTGCACCACGGCCTGATCTCACCGCTGCTAATATCCGTGCATGGATGGGACATTTCAACAACATTCGAAACGTCGCCAAACACGCAGCGAGACTGGGCCAATGCTTTTCCACAACGCGTGCCATTGCCGGGTCCCAGGTAGACACCCGCCTAATAAATGATGTTGAACGCAACAACTACATATTCTCAGACGGGGTTGGTAGGATCTCTCGTTTTCTCGCTCAGATAGTGATGTCAGAGCTAAAGATCCACACGCCAACCGGTGACCCTCCATCCGCCTTTCAGTTTCGCCTTGGAGGAAGCAAGGGAATGCTCACTGTCTCCGAGCAAGCTCAAAGCTCTGAGGTACATATACGGAAAAGTCAGTACAAATTCAAGGCCAAGCACAACCTACTCGAGATCATTCGGTGGAGTCAATACTCGATCGCGACTCTGAACAGACAGTTGATCATGGTGCTGTCATCACTCGGTATACCGGATCATGTATTCCATACCAAGCTGAGAGCCATGATACAGAGTCTGAACGAAGCCTTGGAGAGTGACACGCGTGCCGTTTATTGGTTGAAAAAATATGTGGACCCGAATCAAATGACGCTCATCACCAGCCAAATGGTCCTCGATGGATTCAGACGATCGAAAGAACCGTTCATGACCTCGATCCTAACCCTCTGGAGGGCGTGGCATCTCAAGTACCTTAAAGAGAAAGCCAAAATTGCGATTGATAACGGGGCTTCTTTGCTTGGAGTAATGGACGAAACTAGGATTCTCAGCGGTTATTTCGCTCACAAGACACCCAGAGTCGATGCTACTCGTGAAGAGCGCTTGGCAGCTTTGCCTGAGATATTTCTCCAGATCTCACGCCCCGAAAATGGTGGGAATTATGAAGTCATTGAAGGCATATGCATTCTCGCTCGCAACCCATCTCTTCATCCCGGAGATATTCGTGTCGTGAAAGCAGTCAACGTTCCCGAATTGAGCCATCTCCATGATGTCGTCGTTCTGCCTCAGACCGGGGACCGAGATGTCGCGAGCATGTGTTCTGGAGGGGACCTGGATGGTGACGACTACCTTGTTATGTGGGATCAAGACTTGATACCTGAGGACTGGTTTTGTGCCCCTATGAAGTATGCAAGCAACACAGCCCGGGATCTTGATAAGGACGTGACAGTAGATCAGATCACATCATTCTTTGTCACTTACATGAAGAATGACTTTCTGCCAAGAATTGCTCATGCTCATCTTGCTTGGGCAGACCGGCTTGAGGACGGTGTCAACGAGGAGAAGTGCATTCGGCTTGCCCAACTCCATTCGGACGCAGTGGATTACAACAAAACAGGCAATCCGGCCACTATGAAACGCGAACTGGATCCTCGCCTGTGGCCTCACTTTATGGAAAAGAGACACAAACCAAAGGAAAGGATCTACCATTCCAAAAAGATTCTCGGGCAGCTGTACGATGCCATTGAGCAGATCGACTTTGTGCCCAGTCTAGGAATGCCCTTTGACGAAAGAATCCTCAACTGTCGGTTGGATGTCAGCGACGACCTCTACGCGTTTGCTAAGGACCTGAAGGCTGAATATGATAGCGCCATGCGGCGGATCATGGCACAGCATGATATCAGAACTGAATTCGAGGTCTGGTCTACTTTCGTCCTCAGTCATTCCAATATGAGCAAAGACTACAAGTTTCACGAAGAGATTGGAGGCATCTCGTGTTCACTCCGTGAAATTTTCAAGCAACAATGTTATGACAAGGTTGGTTACGACAAGGTTCAAGGCCGAGAATTTGAGAAATTGGCTCCGCTCGCGGTGGCAATGTATCGTGTCACAAGTCAGGAAATGAGTCTCGCTTTGCAAAAGTATCGCGACGAGAATCCCCAGCATCCCGATGATATTATCACTTCGGTGCCCAAAATGGATCAACTGCCACTCATCAGCTTTCCATGGATTCTGCCGCATATTCTGGGAAAGATCGCAACAGGCCTTTACGAGCTTCCCGTCGTAAGTGATCTTCTCCAGAACAAGAGTTTCCTAAACGCTAACATAACCCACATTAAGCACGCTGATCTACTTGGCTTATCCACGTACGACCAAGTCATGGGCGCATCAACCGAAGTCCATCCCAAGCAGGAATGTGCCAATACCGACCTCCAGTCTTTAGAGGAGCTGCTCGACTTCGGCTTTTCTGACGAACCGCGCAAATCATCGTCGTCGCCGTCATCAGACCTGCTATGTCATTCTAATGATCCTATCAAGGACGAGATCAGCTTGTTAGACTTTGACAATAACTCGGGAAGCACCAGCGCCATTGAAAAGAAAGAGGACGAGGCGATGATCGATTTGCTGGCATCAATAACATGCGGCACCAGCCTAACGGCCCTCCAGACTGTTGAGACTCTTATTCCTCAAACCGTGGTCGAGACTCCAATCGACAAGGAGGCAATACTGGCCATGGAGACACCGAAAGTGACAATCATGGAAGGTCCAAGTGGCCGCATCGAACTCGTAGAGGAGGATGACATTGTGGAGGTTGGTGCGCTCGACAAGCTCGACAGGTTCATTGAGATGCTGGGTGTCTGATACAGGGGAGAATGATTTACAGAACTACCTACTCTCGGGTTTCCGTCGATGGTTCAGTTCAGTTGACTGTTCTTTTTCGTTTGCCTTATGTCATGTACTTTCGCGTCGGCTTTCGCCTCTTTTATCGACATAGGTATTATCTGAATTTGAGAACTCCAAAATTCCAACGGTCGTGTAAATGAGATTAATTCATGAGGTATTTACCCAGAACACCATCTAACAGTTGCGCCAAGTTGTAATGTACAGTACCTAATAATGAGCCCATCGGTATACCAGGACTCCTAACTTCACCAAACAAAAATCACAAAATTAACATAAATGCCTCCAACCGCGTCCTTTCTTCCCAGAAAATCAATCCAAATCACTTCCCAAAAGAATGCCAACAAATCATCACCCTTACCACTCCAAAGCACTCTCACTCGTATCCTGCAACATCTTAACCACCGGATCCAAAACCGCCTTCGTATGTCTCCAATTCGCCATATGTCTCGTCCTAGAATAAAACACCGGACAGTCTTTACTATCGCATTTCACCTCCTCGTCAAATGCAACGCCCATACAAGAACGACACACGCGATGAAGATCGAGAACCCGTTTCTCCGCCTGGCATTGTCGATTCGTCAGATCGAGCAGGGCGATGTGAGGGTGTGCCATGCAGTCGGAACACACGGGGACTTCGGCATCGAGCAGTTTGGCGCGGCAGATGATGCAGGTGGAGGATTTCATGTAGGATTCGAGGGTCTTGCGGGTGTCTTTGACAATGCCGGTGCCGGTGGCGGAGGAGGAGCCTTCGACGCGGCGGATGCGTTGGAAGCGAGGCATCTCGTCGTACCAAGAGCGGACGTTGGCACCGACGAGGTTGAATATGCGTTCGAGGGGCGGGATCAGGTTCTTGGTGATGTAGTATTCGGCGTCGAGGTCGAGTTGGGGGTCATGAAGGAGGGTTTCCGGGGCGACGCAGCGGTCGATCAGTCGGGAGCCTGGGGCGCCGGTGACGACGACGTAGGGGACGCGTTCGCCGTATTGGGGCTCCGATCGAGGGTCTTCGAGCATCTTTCTGGTGCTGATCAGGGCGCCGGGAGGAGGGAGGCCTCGCTCGCTGTAGGTTCCGAGTTTGACCTCGCGGGCGAAGCAGAAGTCCTGGATCGAGACTTTGCCTTGGAGGATCTTGGTGCACTGTTTTTGGAAGTAGCTCTTGACGAGGCTGAGGTCGGCGGTGCGGAAGAGGAGCTTCAGTGCCTTTTCTTCGATCTTTTGCTCCGCCGGGGTGCCGTCTCGTCGGACGGTTTCGATGCCCTTGGCGTCGAATTCGGGCTCTTTCTGGTCGCGGTGTTCGTATTTGAAGCCGACGTAGCGTTTCTTGGCCATGAGCACGCAGGGATGGTAGACCTTTTCGAATTTGAGCTTGACGGGGTGCGGGTTGATTTCGGTGACGGCTTTGGCGATTTCTTCGCCAATGTCGAAGGCTTGATCGCGCGTGCGGCCGCGGAGATAGACGAACAGACTGTCGGTGTCACCATATACGACTTCGGCGCCCCATCGTTCCACGGAATGAATGAACGCGATCGCTTTTTCAAGCGTCTCTCTGCCTGATTGAACGATGCTGTCGGCGATCTCGGAGCAGGGCATTCGTCCAGAGAATGAGGCAGAGGTATAGCCGTATGTGACGTTGGCAATGAGTTTGAGGGCCAGTTGCCTATTATTCAAAAGACGCTGCAATGTCTTGTCATCTTTGTCCATCTTCATGCCAGACTTCACCATGACACGGGTCTCCAGGATTTCTGCCAGCATTTTGGCCAGAAGTGATTTGCGGACTTCCGATTTCGCATATATCATTCCATTCGGTGCGATGTTGATCTTGTCTTTGAGCAGATCGAGCAATCCTAACTGCCGTTGGTAGTCCATAAATCCCATTTTGTCCCTGGTTCTCCATTGTCGCGCCCGTCCAAGGAAGGTCGAATAGCAGTAGTTGTAAGCGATCATAATACTGGGATATAGCGACTGAAAATCCAAAACTATCAGCGGGCTCGTGTAGAAGTCACTCTGAGGTTCCATGACCAATGGAAGACATTCTAGCGCGTTCTGCTGGCCAACCTGCTTTCTGCTCGGGGACACGAGTAAGAAATTCTCGGGCTTTGCAATGCGAAACATCAACGACTCAACCTTGAATTGAGATCCTCGTGAGATTACCGAGTAAAAGTCAATCCCAAGTAACCGAGCCTGCTCACTTATCCTCGGTATCAACTCGTTGGCATCCAGGATTTCCACGTTCATTTGCACACGAGAAACGAGATAATCCACAACTTTCATCATATTGCGAGGTTTGCCGCTTTGATACCATGATGTGAGTTCACGGAAGGAATAGTGTGGGATGCGGCGATGAAGCAGGTGGAATACAACATTCTCCATGCTATACTGGAGTAGGTTTAATTCACTCCTCATTGCCCGCCAGATATTGATCATATGTCGCCCGGTGATTCGGATAGAAGATGTGTGGTTGAATCCATATCGATCCGCTTCTTTGCCATATCTGCCATGTGCTTGCGACTTGACTCTCGATAACTCATCGCAGATATCCAGCTCATACTTCTTCCTAGCTCTCTCGATCACGTAGCCCCACGAGCTATTGTGTACCTCATAGCCGGTGATGATGTCGGGGTCGTACCAGCGGACGATATCCACCAACCGAGTTATCAAGTCAAGCTCACTAGAATCATGTTCCAGATCAACTTTCACGGCTTTCGAAATCTTGATATGCGGTCTATCCTCCTCACTTTGTACGACCATTCCGATGTGGACACCTGGTAAATGACTGTTGACGTCAAGATCCTCATCGTCCGACTGCACACACCAAACTATGCAAGAGATCTCGTCTTCCTCGGGGTTCGGGGAGAGCACACCGCGGGTATTGACATGAACCTCCAAACTCATGATACTCATATACTGATTTTGGTGCTCAACACTAGTCGATTTCTCTTTCTGGGAATACTTGAACCCATATTCGTTCTTCTGAGTGGGGCCTTCGATTTGCGATAGAACATTCGGCTTCATATCAAGCGCTAGGTTCGGCCCGTTTGATGTTGTTTGTTGAGTTCGTCTTTCTAATTGCTCATTCTCAAACCAACTGATGACTTCTGCACGACTTGGAGGCACAGGGGCAAATTCCCACACTCTGCTGGTACAGGACTTGCGCAAGCATCGGTCAACTTCTTCTTGGGTATTTCTGTCTTTAACGACTGGTATTTGCTCTCCCATCATTGCATCAGAGCGCCCCGACGGATCAAAATCAGGCAGATAATGAATGTCGCTACCTTCAAGTCGAAACTCTCTACCGGCGTAATCTCGAGGTCGGTCAGGAACATCAGTCACATTGCCATAGTGGGCCTTCTGATAGATGACAGAAGGGTAAAGGGAAGATGAAACATCGCTCGGGTTCGGACAAGGTAGCCGTAAGCAACAAATTCGGCTATTAGAAGAGATATCAAATGCTTCATAAATCGAGGATGCCATTTCTGACACGTAAGGATCGACGAAATTCGAATTTGTCTCCATCGAAGATGACTGTAAAGGCTCAGAGCTTTGCATAGGGCTTGCGTCCTTGGCGATTCCCTGGGCAGGAACTGTCGTGCTTTCCGAGGTCTTCGGCATTGTCTTGGGTGTGTTGCCCTCCTGACTGAATCGAAGAATGGTCATCGGATCATTTGGATCTTTGACTACCGGGAAACCAAGTTTACTGCTTTGGCCTCCACCCTGGGACCGTGGTGTTGGCTGTGAATCTTCGAATTTGGCTTGCGATGACAAATCAGGATGTAATATTCCTGCATTTTCAAAACTTTCCGTCTCCGAAGTCTTGTAGTTCGCTTCCTTGTCTGAAGTGATGACAGGTTTCGGTAGATTCTGGGGGTTTAGGGATGGGTTGCGTGGTACATCATCAAAGAACCTGATTCTCTTGGGAGGCTTGTTGAAATATGGCATGTTACTGAGGCGCTTGAGAGATCGGCTTGCGCTTTGAATGCCTGCATTGATATTTTCTCGGGAGTTTAAGTCCTCAAGCCTATTAACATGTGCCCCAAGTGGTCCATCTTTTTGTAAGGAGTCTTCAAGCTGAAAAGGTCTCTCAGAGATCATGTCCCCTATAGGACCTTGGGCAACATCTGTATCTTCTAGGCCACCCTCCTCGTCCGAAAACAAGTCCGCAATATCATTATCGTCCGAGCAGTAAGAGCCGTCATCATACTCCGCTGCATCGTCTTGCGGAAGGACACCGGTGTCAGTTTGGGGTTCAATAGCTGGTCCTGGGGCCTCGTGTGCACTCGAGAGTACATTTTCGTCCGCGAAGAAATCTTCGACACTTTCTAGAACGGTCTTGATGTTTCCCTCAAAGGGTTTCTTCATTAAGATGTTGTCAAATGTGATGTCTTTGCTGCCCATTTGGCTCTTCTCGACCGCAGCGATCTGAGATGCCAGCTCGCGGTATTCTTCTTCATGGATCCACGGGCCATTTAAATGGTTCCTCGTGTCTGCTGATAGAGAAGTCAAGTCCTCGGCGCTGAACGGACTGCTTCCAGTATCAAAAATACCAAGCTTCTTGTTCCGCCTGCGTTTTTCATCCTGCCATAAGCCAGCCATGCTTGGAACCAATCGTTCATCCGAAGTCATCGGCTTCAAAAGCTCGGTAAAATCATGGTGTATCGGCCTTTCACTAATATCCAAACGATTCAAGATATCCTGCACCCGGACATCAACTTCGAGAGCGCAATTACTTTGTTTTGGCAGAGCCGACTCTTCCGAGATAAGGTCTGGTTGGATCGATCGATCATGCCAGCGATGGGACTGATTCGTAAGCTCAAGATAGTCCGGGACTGGCGATCTGAACTTGGCCTTGCTACATTTCATATAGGCGCAGCCGAACAAGCTGTAATCACACATCCATTGCGGGATATATTGTAAATGACTTTCGTACGGTTGCAGAGGGCGCTTTAGTACAGCTCCTTGAAGTAATAAGTCGGCCAATCTTGTCGTATAGGTCGGACTGAGTAAATAGATCTTGAAGAAAAACCGATAACCAACATGGTAGCCATAGAATGGGATCCCTTTTACCAAGGTGACATGGGCCACGAAAACGGATTTCTTGTCATTTGCGTTGCGCTGATAGCTGGCTGCCAAGGCTTGGTCGATTGAGACGTGTAAATTCCGGGTTGCAGACGCCACTAGGAATTGTTTAGCTGAAACGGACGGCGCCCGACTTTAAACAAGCTTAAACGCACCTGAATCTGAGTCCAAACTACCATCATACTCGACGTAGAGGTAAGGGATCGCGCCATGTACATGAACGCATACTTTCTGACCGGTTTCCGTCACCCCAAATATCCGTATTACTGGAACTCTCGGTTTGTACTGGTCTTTCGCGGATCCATCCTTATACGTGAAGGGAGGATCAAATTCTGACGAGATTGCCTGGTAATGATCCAAGCAGTTGAGGCGCACTTGAAAGGGCTCCATTAGTTGTTAGTAGGACAGTCGGGGCTGCCATCGACATATCGTGAAGAAAGAAAGCTTCCCTCATATCAAGAAGCTTCATATGGGATTGGATATCCCTAGCTGCCTTGCGATCTCACTTTTCTCTTTGTTGTGAGCATGACGTGTAGTTGCCATCGAGGAGGACGCGATCCGAGGCGCGGAAGAACGCCTGGTCACGTGATACTGACCCGGTCTAATCGTCGGTTGATCTTCATGAGCCTGGACCTCCGAGCGCCAAAGGTTTGACTTCCACAACAGCGCAGGCCGTTGGCAAATCATATCAACCTGGAAAAGGTTCGTCGGGAATATCTTTATCTTTACTTCATCGCGACCGAAATAGTCGCACCCTTTCCCGCAAAATGTCGCGAAAACCTGCCGATGTGGCGTCGAAGGAGCGCAACGAGTACATCCCGTCCTTCATTTCCAAGAAACCGTTCTATATCGACGACGACGAATCCGCAAACGACTATCTAGAGCATCAGCGTCTGAACAAGTCGACCAATGATCAATCGAAATGGTACGAACGTGGAAAGCGAGTCGGTCCCGCTGCGACCAAGTACCGGAAAGGCGCGTGTGAAAACTGTGGCGCCATGACACACAAAACCAAAGAATGTTTAAGTCGACCTCGAAAGCAAGGTGCCAAGTGGACGGGAAAGGATATTCAGGCCGACGAGGTGATACAAGACGTGAACATGGGATGGGACGCAAAGAGAGACCGGTGGAATGGTTACGACCCCAGCGAGTATCGCCAGGTTGTTGAAGACTATGAGGAACTGGAGAAGTTGAAAAAGGTTACGAAGCGGGACGTTGAAGATGGGCAGAAGGCCATCATGGATGGCGACCCGGACGGTGAAGACGCAACGCAGGAAGAGGCCCGATACGCCGAAGAATCCGACATGGGAAGGCAACAGAGTACAGCGACTCGCAACCTACGTATCCGAGAAGATACTGCCAAGTATCTCCTCAATCTCGACCTCGACTCCGCGAAATACGATCCTAAGACACGTCGAATGGTTGACATGGGAGCTCAAGATGACCAAGCGGCCGCACTCGTTGCTGAGGAAAACTTCGTTCGCGCTTCCGGTGATGCAGCCGAATTTGAGAAGGCCCAAAAGTATGCATGGGAGGCTCAAGAAACTGGCGCGCAGAAAATCCATCTACAGGCAAACCCGACATCCGGAGAGGTATTGCGAAAACAGGAGAAATCTCAAAGCGAAGACAAGCGACAGAGCCAGCGAAAAGCGCTGTTGGATAAATATGGTGGGCAGGAGCATTTGCAACCAACGCCATTGCGCGATACTATGGTCGTTGAAAACGAACGGTTCGTTGAATATGACGAAACCGGTGCTATCAAAGGAGCGCCTAAGAAGGCGGCCAAGTCCAAGTATGCGGAAGACATATTCCCTAACAACCACACCTCGGTCTGGGGAAGTTGGTGGCATAACTTTGAATGGGGTTACTCCTGCTGTTTCTCGACGGTCAAGAACAGCTACTGCACTGGTGAAGATGGAAAGAAAGCCTTTGAGGAGGCTGATAAGATGCTGATGCTGGAGGAAGCCGACGGAGAGAACGGAGACCCAGTTTCTGGAACTGCCGAGGCCGACGATGCTCCTCGGTCTTCCAGTCCCGAACGAGTTGAGCAAGAGACCAAGCCTAGCTCGAAAAAGAGAACGTTGATGGAAGTACAGTCTGGCATTACGGAAGAGGAGCTGGAATCGTACAAGAAGAGTCGTCTTGATGCGGATGATCCCATGGCTGCGTTCATAGGGAAAGACACGGTGGAGTAGTTGTGATCAGGCTTTCTATCATTTCATCTATTCTCATTGCCTATCTAGATATGGAGCGTTAGGTGCCACTAAATACCCCATTCAAAATGTACATATACGATGATGTTTCAATTCGTGTTGTTAGCCATATTGATCATGAGTATCCTGGTATGATCATAGAAAGCATACCACTATGCGGAGTGGCGCGAACCAAGGATTATTGAGTAGACCCAACTCTGAGGCGAAAATGAAGCCCAAGACAGAATGGGCCTAGTACGATCGAGTGAGTGGGGGCGGTAATGTCATGTGATCCTTAGCCCTTCTGTAGTCCCGTGACTTGTCACGAGACAGGGCACAAGCCCTCGCTGGATACCACACTCGCTTAGCGACAGGCCCGTCCGAACTCAGCGCGCAACTTCCGATACGCCTAGCGACGACGACAACGACAACCAGCCCTTCAACGGAATCGCCAGGTATGCTGCTACTCCACACGATCATTTGATGCGCGTCGATTTACCAGGGGAAATTTTTCGCTGACAATTTTTGTTGTTCGTCCTACAGTTCCATAATTCAAGATGAGTATGTGCAAATTCGAGATCCCACCGAGCGACATTTGGCTCGCCTTCGAGAAAGAATTTCGAGACTGACTCCGACAACAGCGAAGGGTACCTCCAGCTTTGGCAAGCGCCACAACAAAACCCACACTCTCTGCCGCCGTTGTGGTCAGTATTTTCCACCATTCCGAAAAATGATAAACCACCGGGCCGAAAACTTTTGACGGATGTCTACACGGGATATCAGGAAGAAGTCCGGAGGATATAAATGGGCAATCAGATGGGCTAACCGATGGTGAATTCCGGAATATAGGCCAGCGCTCCTTCCACATCCAGAAGTCGACCTGTGCCAACTGTGGTTACCCCTCCGCTAAGACCCGCAAGTGTACGAACTCCCCCGAGATCCATACAGTGTTGTTTTCTCGTGCTTGATCGAATGATGGAGATCATGTCGGCACGGTTGGAATTGGAACTGTGAAGCTTACGATTTTTTTGTTGAAAACAGTCAACTGGGGCGAGAAGGCCAAGCGCAGAAAGACCACCGGCTCCGGCAGAATGAGCCACCTCCGCGACGTCCAGCGCCGCTTCAAGAACGGCTTCCAGACCGGCACCCCCAAGGCCGCCCGCGGTCCCCAGAGCCAGTAAATTAATCCCGACGGCGCATCTTGTTTGATCTCGGAGGCTGGAAGAGGGCTGGTATGACAAGGCCCGGCATCCAAAGTGCCGGGCGAAAAAAAGACGCTTTCCCGTGGAGTTGGTGTTGGGACGAGTCTTGTCTTTTGTCGTCATAGCGTGTTTGTCCTAGAATAACGACGGCAAAGGGAAGGCGGAAAATTTGTGGGTTTTGAAAGGGAAAGCAGGCATGAATTTCCTTTCTTGTTTACGGCTGGCGAATATCCCATGTCCTGGCAGATACATTATTGAAATGCTCCAATGTGATCTGTCTACCTGAATACGCCCGTTCTCCGAGATATCTTCTCTCCGCGCTTTACTAGCAAGCAGTTTTACAGCCCGAGTTCAAGCAATATTGCGACATATCTTTTGATTTTGATATTATTCACAGGGTCGCATTTATTTACGGTCTGCCTCTCAACACCAGGTCAATACAACGGACAACAGTGCCCAGTGTAGCCCGCAGGTCTATGATATCTATTCGCCTCTCCCAAAAACGTTGACACCACCATCTCGCTGAACGAAATACAACACTTCTTTCTCCCAATGGTTCTGAGCGCTGTCCTCGTCCCGACCCCAAGCACCACCTTTGCTAACTCTCAGCACACCACTGACATCTCTCGCCACGCCCGTCTCCAAAACCCGAAGCTGCATCACCATGTGCGCCCGGTGAGCCGAGCCTATCACGAACGCAGAATGCTCCGTTTCCAAGGGCGTGGCCGGCTCATAGTTAGCGGCAGATGCGTTATGTATTAGCGGGGAATCGGCGGAGACGGTCATAAGAGTTGCATAAACACCCTACACAAGCCATCAAATTAGCGGGGACAACCCATTTGTAGACCTCGGCGACGATATCGCCAGTTACACGCACCTGTTGTAGACCCAATATCCAATCTCCCATCTCGGTAGCACCTATCCCTCGACCGGGTCCCGTCGCGGCCAGCAACAGGTCGGGCTGATCAATGATCAGTAGAACCTCAGATTCTTCGCCATCTCCAGTTGCCTCCGCTTGGAGTTGTTTGACCACGGCCGTGATTTCCCTTTCCAGGGAAGTGAGGGCCGTTGTGCCATTTCCTGAGAGATGTAGCCGCTTTACAGGCCCGACTTCTTTCGATGTAGGGGCGGCATTGCTGTTGGGCGCTGGTGGGGGTGGTCGCGATACCGGCTGCAGGCCCCGCGCTGGAATGGGACCGGGTTGCGACCGGACGGGGAGAACGGTTCGAGGGGGAGCAGCACCGGGGAATGGCGACGATTTAGAAGGTGAAGGGGTGGTCACAGGAGGGTTAAAAAGCTCGGAGAGTCCGTCGACGAAGGCAAATTGGCGTTTGTCTGTGAGGCGCGCAAGGTCCAAGCCCTGAATAGGTCAGGTCGCGATTCCGTGCAATTGGAGCAGGAAACAAAAATCGAATCCAAGAGAATAAAAAAGGAAAAAAGAAAGAAGCAAGGAGGAAGACAAAAGCATGAAAGCCGAATAAAATGGCTTTAACAATGATTCCTGAGGGAATACTCACCAGTCGCTTTGCCTCCGATCGCCAAAATTCCCAACCCCGCAGGAAACTCACGAGCACAACCTTTTGCTTTTTTCCGGCATCACCACCCTGCAGTCCGAATGCTGCTTCGGGGTTGGACGAGGTACCCAGCGCCGCATACAGGTATCGCAGCACGAGCCAATTCCCCGTTGCGCCTAGTACGGAGGAGAGGACGGTGAGGGACGATCGTGGGAGGGACGAAACGTAAGGCGCGAGCAGGTGCGGAAGTGGCGGTTGAGTGGGCATTGTGGGAAATGAGCGGCGCGGAGGTGTCGAAGCCGGTTCGGTCTTCCTCAAGATGGGAGGATGGACCGAGATCGAATGCGACCGAGGGACGATGCTGCGGTGTTCCGTTCGGGGTACTTGAAGATAATACTCTTAAGAAATGACGTTGTACCTATAGAAAAAAAAGTTCTGCCAGTCCCGCCGTGCCAAGACTCGAGGGGTCTTCTTACGGAGTATAACTCAGGTACTCCGTACTTCCTCTCTCGTCTCTTTCTCTCTCGCTCTTTCTCTTTTGCTTCGTAGAGCAATTAGGGTTACGTTGGGAGGCATTGGAAGTCTTACGCGATTTCACTTGTTAATTGCACTCTCAGATGAAATTCCTTTGATCACTGGAACTGCCCCACAGCACGGAGGATGTACCGTCGTTCATTCCATTATATATAGTGAGAATCGCTCTACGGAGTATGCATATATCAGACAACCCACATTGGTTATACCTGAATAGGCAGGATTTGGGGACCGCAGAACTGTCAGATTTAGACACGTCAGATTGACATTAGATCGAGGCCAGCATACCGAATCAAGGTCACTAAATACGGAGTACATACAGTCATGCACTCTTGGAACGTGGGCAAGCTCAAAAGTACCTGGCACATGCTTGAGCACAAACACCGACGGTCCCTCAAGCCTCGAGGGGCATTGACCTCGAGATGCACTGCCCTCTGGCAGGTCCAATCAGCCGGGCGAGTCGAGGCATCCGCCGTGGATTCCTGAAAAATCAGGACGTGCAGGGATGCAGATCACGTGCTCCCCCATCCGCCCCACGGCCGGCGGGCAATCAAACATCGCAACTTCTTTCAGGCGGAAGGCTTCATCCGATCATTCCACATACATCCCTCCTCTCTGCCTCGCAATGGGTCCGGGGGTCTAGTTCGGTCCCCGATGTCTCGTCTCGCCCTCTTCCCTTAAGGACCCGGGTTACTGAATTTATTCTACGCCGATCGTGAGTTGGCCCCATGTCCTCTCTGCTCGCTGTTCCCGATTCGTTTTCCTTTTCTTTTTTTCCTTTTCCCTTCCCTCAGGTACCCCACAATTGAAAAGATCTACTATCTATCTACTTTTCGCACTATCTGTACATTGCACTTTCTGGTTTCAATCTTTTCTCTTGGAACCATCTCTCTGTATCCCTCTTGGTTTTCTCTCATCCCCAAACTGTCTTATAGATTGAATTCAAATGCGCGCCAAATGGCCTTGTACTTCCGCGCCTATTCTTTTTTGATATGCATATGCTCTTTCCATACAAGCTCGCTCGTTCGCGCCTAATGCCATTCGGAACCAGGGCACTAATCGGGTGGTGCTGACAACCTATTGCAGGCTTGTGTAACTGTCAAGGGTACAAGAAAACAGGAGATCAAAAAAACTGATCGTTTCGGTCGAAAATGGCCAGCACTCGGGATTCCCACTCCTACGCCGTGAGTTGCCTTTCCTAACAGCCTTTGAGTGCCGGGAAGAAGTAGTTAATCGGTTGCAGTGCGATGAATGTCGTTTGCGAAAATCCAAGGTGAGATAGAAGCATCGCAGCTGATGCGATCGACCAAGCGAACGTGTCACTGACTCTCCCTTGCAGTGCTCGAAGGAGAAGCCAGTCTGCGCTCAATGCAAGCAGCTGAACAAGGAGTGCAAATATAGCCCTAAGATAACTAGGAGTCCTCTGACACGACAGTAAGTGTCTTGTCTTTCATTACCCTTCTCCTTGTTGAAGGATTGCGAGGAAACAAAGGGCGAACCATTCTCTTTCCGATGCTTTCTTGCGTCCCGTTTGGATTGGCCGAGAAACATCAGAGCCGGACTGACATTCAATTCAGACACCTAACTTATGTCGAAGACCGTTTGTTTGCTTTTGAAACAGCCTTAGGAAGGCTGTTTCCAGGAGGTGACCTGGATGCAACGGTTCGTTCTCTGTTACACGACCAAGATGGCCCGAAACCCGGGTCATCTTCCAAGTCTTCCTCTAGACATTCCACTCCCGCTAAAACTGAGGCGGATCGCACCGAACCAGCTCCGGAAGCCCTGCCGCAGAAGGCCGATGGCTTTGACTGGACTGAAAACAAAATCACGGTTGGCGATTTGACGGATGGCATGGCCTCTCTGTCTATCAAGCCCGAAGGAACAGGCTATTTTGGTTTGTGCAATTCCTATCTTATAATTAGCCTTGGCTAATCGCTTAAATTCAGGTGCATCCTCCAGTGTCGTCCCACTTCGAGCGTTGCTGAAACACGGGTTCGACCTGAATTTCCCTGCCGGGCCGTTAAGATCACAAGTTGGTCCGCCTTTGAAGTCGCAACTGCTGAACACCGCACCTTCGGGAGTTGTCGAGCAGGCTTTCATAGATGCATTCTTTCTCAATTACCACTCCAGTTACCCCTTCGTTCATGAAGCTACATTTAGAGCACAGTTTTACGAGCAGGCACCTCGCCGCCATGGTCAGGTGTGGCAAATTCTCTTGAACACAATATTGGCTCTTGGGGCATGGAGCATTGGCGATGATAACTCAGACCTGGATATCACGTTCTACCAGGAAGCCAGAAGTCATCTGCAGCAGGTGTCGGTGTTTGAAACCGGCAATCTAACCCTCGTCCAAGCCCTACTTCTTCTGAGCAACTATGCACAGAAAAGAAATAAGCCCAACACAGGTTGGAATTTTCTGGGCTTGGCGGTGAGGATGGCCATGAGTCTTGGTCTTCATAAAGAGTTTCATGGCTGGAAAATCAGTCTTCTCCAGCGAGAGATTCGAAGGCGATTATGGTGGGGAGTATTCATGTTCGACAGTGGTGCTGCGAAGACATTTGGTCGGCCTATCCTGCTGCCCGAGGACCGAGTCATGGATGCGAAGCATGTTATGAATATCCACGATGAGGTAATTACGTCGGACCTCATACCATGCAGGCAATATTTTACTGACCTCAATGACTAGGCTCTCACCTCGACGACAACAACCTTGCCCGCCGAGTTTAACGGACCTACCATCTACTCGGGCCTGATTGCTCAGACCAGATTCCATTTACTCACGAACAGTGTCTACCAGCGCCTTATCTCTAGTCCAAGCTTGACACCAGAAGAAACCTTGACTCTCCAAAACCCGATGGAGGAATGGTACAACGGTCTTCCGCATTATTTCAAACAACCTCCCCCGCTATCAGAATCAGATCCCTTTGCTTTAGTTCGCAGCCGACTCTTGTGGAGAGATTGGAACCTACGGATTCTAGTCTACCGGCCAATCTTGCTTCGCTGGGCGTCTAGAAGATGGACTCCTAACGCATCCACTGACCATGAGGAGGATCCTCTAGAGGCGGATTGCCGAATGCTGTGTCTTCGGAATGCACGGTTAACTATTTCCTCCATCACGGATTTCGTTAACAAACATATCTGCACGAGAATCGGTGCATGGTATATGTTGTATGCTTACTCCCATACCGAAATTTTTTGAACCCAAGCTAACATCACCGTTATCTTAGATATTTCCTTTTCCAGGCTGGAATCATCCCTGTCATTCTGCTCATGACAGATCCCACCAGTGCAGAAGCCCCGGCCTGGCTCCAGGATATTGAGGCGACAAAGAGCCTATTAATGAATCCGTCCCTCAGTAACCACCGCCTTGCCACCCGCTATCTAGAAGTTGTGAATCGACTCTGTTCTCCGGCATATACAGCCTCCGTCGCCAACGGTTCCACCCAACAACCGCCGATCCTGATGCAATTCTCCGACCAAATTTTTAACGACCCTACCATGGGCTACATGTTCCCAGACGTCGACCAAGAACTAAACATCGGAGGCATGGATTTCTCCGATTGGGTCAACTTCGCGCCACAGGGGGATTTTGCCTGATTAGATAGACAATCGTTTATAATACGATAGCCACTTGGAAAGCCCAAGAACAGCAACGAACGAAGCTCTGGTCTGGGTTTAGAAGCAATGTGGGTTTCTTATTGGTCTAGAACAGGGAGCAAGATGACTTCTCCCCTTTCGGTCTATTATCCGCCATCGGAGCGTACTAGTCTGGTCTGGTCGGGCCTCGTCTTGGGAACGTCGAAACAGGTCTTGGTACTGCATCTTCGAGTTGGTGTGCCTCAGAGCGCGTGTTCTTCCTCCTGCGCGAATGGTTTCGACAGGGTATCTATATCATCGGTCTGTGCCTGAGTTCCGCGGAGCTCAGCCTCGATTTGAACAATGCGCAATTTCTCCTCGTGGGCTGCGGTATCTCCGAAAATAAGGTCCATATCTTCGAGGGTCTATGATTCAAAGGACGGGGATCTTCAGCGTCAGAAAAATATACATATATACACCCATTATCTCCCATTGGGCCATTCGGCGATCTTCCGAAGAAGCAGGACGAGGAATGACAACCGAACGAGCGGAATGAAATGAACTGACCTTTCCTCTCGTCTCCGGAATACAAAAGAACGTGAACCCCAACGCGATGAGACAAAATGCCGCAAAGAAGATATACGTGCCCCATGTGATCGAATCGAGCATGTCCGGGGTAATCAGGCCAATGATGCTAGGAAGGTTTTTTTGGGTTAGCAAAACCAGACATGACATGAAGTTGAAGGTGCGTTCAGATAGGATAATTTAGGAAATATGTCCTAGTATTTAACTAGGGGTCTTTAGGTTGGTTGATATCAATGCATATATACATATGAAACATGGAATAGTGGACTAGAGACACAGAAAGAGAGAGGATAGAACCCACAAATTGCACATCCACGTCGCCGACGTAGTTATTGAGATCGCCTTGGACCGAATCGAAAGATTGAATATCTCCGAAGGAAGAACCCATCCGATGGGTGCTATATACATGTAAGTTAGTTGGACGGTAGGTCAGTCAGGTCGTCTACGTAACAAAGGATGTCGGGGAATCTCACCAAACGAGTACGAAAAATTCACATCATAAACATAAATAAACGCGATGCCTGCCCAGCCCGCCGACTTATTATTTACGAGGTCAGAACCGTACGTGCCGATAATGGCGCCCACGATCACGAGTGAGACGCAGGTGCCGAGAGCACCGGACATGAGGAGGACGCGACGACCGATCTTGTCGATTAGGAAGAGCGCCGGGAGGGTGCTCAGGCAGTTGACGATGCCGTAGACGCCGGTGGCGAGGAGGGAGGTCTATTTTTTTTATTGGGTTAGGATGGGGTTGGCATTTAGAGAGGGGGGTGTTTGAGTGGGTTGCGTACGGTGTTGCCGTCAAGACCCAGTTGTGCGAAGATTGTGGGTGCGTAGTATATTATTGCTAGATGAGTGGGTTAGATGTCTGTCTGTCTGTCTGCCTCTGCCTGCCTCCGTATCTGTATGTGCTGAGAGGAAATGGGAGAACAAAATACCATTACAGCCCATAAATTGCTGAAAGAACATGACGCAGCATCCGATCGCCAATCGCTTGAAGCGGGCCCATGTAGTCAAGAAGGACATATACTAGACGAAGTACGATATATCAGCATGGAGTGCGTGCAAGCCGACGACAAAACCAACCTGAGCAGCATCCAGCTTTGCTCCCGACAGGCCTGGAAAACGTTCCCTCGCAAACGTATTCTCCAACATAATCGAAGCCTTGACTTCGAGGTACTCGTTGACCAGAGCCGGGCTGTCCTTGACCCGTCTCCGGAGTTTGGAGAGCGCGTCAAGAGCATCCTCGTCCCGTTCATTCATCAGTAGCCAACGGGGCGAGTCGGGGAAGAAGGTTATGCCTAGGCCGAGGATGATAGCAGGGAGGATCTGGATGGCAAGAGGGAGTCTCCACGAGGCTTCGGATTGGCCGTCGCAGCCTCCGGGAGGAACATCGTGGTAGGGGTCGAATGTGTTTGACGCCTTGTCCTGGCCGCCGCTGTAAGGAATGTCTGGAGCGCAGCGCGTGCCTCCGATGTAGTTTGTGCCGTAGTCAATCCAGTAACTTACGAGGATGCCGATCGTTATAGATACTGGGTCATCAGGGTTAGAATTAGAAGGTCATGTATGTATTGTACGTATGTAGGAGTTGGAACCGAGGAGCCTCACACTGTTGCAATACCACCAACCCACCTCGAATATCGGGGATAGACACCTGCGCTTCGTAAGCACCCAGATTGACAGTCTCGAGACCAGTAGACGCGTACCTCGGATATGTACAGTGGTACGACCATGGTCAATTGGCCGACAGCTAAACCTGCTATGGCCCGACCTGTCAAAATCTCTAGTCAGCACCGCTCTTTGCCATATCTGCATTACCTGCAGGTCTCCAACACATACCGACAAAAAGCATAGGGATATTCACAGCAGCGCATTGAATCGCCGACCCTACGACAAAAACCACCACGGCCACATTGATCGACAACTTCCGCCCCAACCGGTCCGCAATCGGGCCATTGATCAACGACCCAAACCATGCAGCTGCAATACATCAGCATCATGCCATCCCAACGCAAGGAGAGTGCTATCAAGTCGCAGAAACAAGGAAGGGAAAAAAAAAAAAAAAAAAAAGAAGAAGAAGAAGGCCACAACACACACCCAGCAGAAGAGTCGACACAAACCACCCCTTGAATTTAGTATCCGTGTAAACCCGAGGGAATCGCGCAGCGAATGATTCCATGGTTATCACGCCCGATACGACGCCCTGATCGTACCCGAAGAGCAAGCCACCCAGAGTTGAGAACTGCGAGCGATCGGGGTCATAGTTAGATTGGGATCCGTCATCGTGCAGTGTGTAATGTGCGACCCGCGGTAGGGAGTCCCAGGAATCCAGCGAGGCAACTGGACAGCGAGGTAGCGGAGAAGACAGCCCAACTTACCGAAGCAACCCCGAGGAGATACGGGTTTTGGCGGACGAGCGCAAAGCCTGCGTTCGGGGCATTGTTGTTCACGGATGACCTCGACGTCATTGCGTTGTTGCACTGGTCTGCAGTGCTGATGTATGTAGCGGATTGCTTCGAGTAATGCAGAGAGATCGAGTCCCACTCTATTTATAGGCTCTTCTCTCGTTTCTTGATATATTCCGTGTTCAACGTTGATCAACCCCTCACGCTGGAGACGAGGTCCATCACACGGAAATCCTCCGTTTTCGCAGTTCTAGCCGTGGTCTATAATCTGGAGGTATATAGTAGTGCGCGAGAAGGTCCGTTGCACGATAGGCTTCCACTCGCAAAACCTGTAATCGCCAGCCCGAGGAGGGACCAAAACCGCAAACAAGGGCATCTCCGAGTCAAGGGAGGTGGGTATCACGAGATGCCAGAATGCGGGGAGAGGACGTCTGAAGGCGGGGGAAGTCCGACCCGCTGATCAACAACCCTCCGGCAAAGTTCATATTGTGCACACTGCAGGAAAGATGAGATCATCGACACCTTGAGCCGAGATGACGGCCGACGGCCGACACGGTTGTCGAAAATGGGAAGTGCATTTCCGAGACCGACGCCGGATGGAAGCAGGGAGATGGCAATCTTCAAGGAACTGCCATACTCCGGAGTACCTTCGGGCTTCGGCATAGTTAGTTACTTGGTCGGCCAGAAGTGGATGAGATAAGCAGTTACAGTCACATGGCCCTGCCCAGACGGAGATGCACGACACCGAATCCATTGGCCAATCACGGTCTGTGAAAATGAGTCATTCTCACTCATAATTACTAGCGCCTGCGTCACAGTGTATGCAGCGGGTATGCGTTATGTATACGGTATGATACAGAGTAGATATCTTCAGGTAAATAGGCAGGGGCCTACCATTCAACTATTTGTAGGGTCTGCAGATATATTCTGGTCAAGGATGCGGGTATAAACACAGCTTTCATGGATCGATTTGTGAATGCTACCAGGCATTTTGAATGATAACCCATAGGTATCTTATCTTAGTACTGCTGTGAAATACCGCACCAACCGGTGGGACCGCAAGGGTCTATCCGCGGTTTAGTCGGTATCCACTTGCATTCTCCATGGTCCCCTTTACTGTTGATCATGCAAGCGCAGTGCTTTCCTTACCTCAGGTTGATCTACAAATACTCTACGATGACACGTCGGCCCTTGCAGCCCGCAGAGATCGCTGACCAGGCTCCGACATCAGGAATTCTTGTTCAACCCAGTTTCTATTCACATGCCGAATTAATTGACTAGGAGCAGAATCTACTTCTTTTCCCTCCCCACAAGACTCCGAAGAGCATCCGTCTCGCCTTCCAGTTTGGAGACGCGCATTTTCAACGCATCCCGCTCCTCCTTGACTTTCTTGAGCTCGGCCTCCAGCTGATTCACCTGGTCGACTCGTCGTTGGCGATAGCGGCGCGCCGCCATCGTGTTCAACTGGCGCTTCTCGATTCGCGAAATCGCGGGCTTGGACCGAGTCGTACCCGTATCACTCGGAGTGGACGAGTTGGAGGGTGAGGTGGTCGAAGCTGGAAGAGACATGGGAGGTGGTTGATATTGGGAGCCTAGACATGATTAGACCAATGGGTTCCATAGTTTAGTTGTTAAAGAGCCAGCACACCTTCAGAATATATCAAGGGAGGCTCGTGCGAAGGGAAAAGATCGTTCGAAACATCCGGTTCCGGAAAGGAAAGCTCATTCTGCAAGAGACTTGGCTGTGGTTCAGCGGCAGGTGTGTAGGGTGCTGGGTAGAACGAAGTTGAAATAGCAGGCAGTGGCTGATATGGACCGTCAGTTACCGGGGCCCAAGTGTCGAGGGATTCGAGACCGGCGAAGTCGTCACCAGGTAGGTTGAAAGGCGAATCCAAGGGAAACAATTGCGGAGTATAAGGGTTAAGAAGGTTGTCGGAGAAAGAAGAGTCGGAGAAGGAGGGATATTGATCATGAGGTTCTTTTTGCAGGTCGGCACTACCGTTGACCTGCCAGGAAGACGACGGCCTTGACCTGCTGCTTGGCTGCCACGAATGATGAAGCGGTTGCCGCCATGATTGTATGACGCGGTCGGGCCTGAAAAAGGCCCGGGGCGCTTTTAGATAATTTGAAGAAAAGAAAGCAACGAGGCCAAAGGACAGACCAAAGGAGTGTAATGATAGAAGGAAAGAAGAAGTAAGAGAAGATGCTCAGCAGCGGGGGAGAATTTAAACCTCATCCGAGGCGGCTTAATCAGCACGCTGTGGGGTCAGGCTGAGTTTAGCGCAAACTCAATCCGCCAAACGGACGGCGTAACGGTATGGTACTCGTATAGGGGACATGGGACTGCCCGGGCTATTGATTCCTCTCGTCTCAATTGGTAGCTGGGGAAACTAATAATTGATGAACAATTCCGTTGCTGGCTGCTTGCAATTTGTCTACCGATAGTACCTTAATTTCCTCCAAAAGAATCGAGTCTACAAACCGCTAATTAGTGGATGAACACCACAGACTCTGGACATAGGCTTGTCTGGATAAGATATAATTATTGATTTTCCAAATCAACAGTTTCCTCCCGATTCAAATTGGTTGACACCACCTGAACGGAACGTAAAGATGAGAAAACTCTCGCTCACAACATGCAACGCACAACGCAAACGCTAAACAACAGACACTTAGGCAATGGCCGGCCAAGGAGCTAAGATGAAACGGAAGCCAGAAGGGAAGAAACAGAAGACCAATCAATCAATCAGTAATGCTCTCGGTTGCGCCTATGCTTGATTAACAAACGAGAAAACACCCATAGAAGCCTCCCCTGGGTAAAGAGTGCCGGTCTGATCCTGCTGGAATCCCCAAAGCACAAACATGGATTCATTGATCATGAAAGAGGGCTAATTAGGGGCCAAGTTTTAGGCTCTCACTGTTTTTGGTGGGCTAGAATCCGGGAGCAGTTGCCGATTATCTGCGGGACTCGTTAGGTTCATAGTGGATCGGCTCGAAATCCTGGTTTTGGAAGTGGGCTTGGTTGTATGGGGAGCTATCAGAGTGAACCCATTGTTAGTAAAAAAAAATTCCGGCCATTCGGGTGGAATGAGAAAAGACCCACTTCTTAAACGGTGTGGTAACTGGAAGCGAGTGGCTCAAATTGGGCTTCATCACCAAGGGATTCAACCGAATTTGGGGCCCGTCTGACAAGCGACTGGGCAAGGAGGTCATTGGCGGTGGCGCCGGCGGTGCCGACAAGGGGGGAGGCGGTGGTGAGGCCACGGGTGCGGGTGACGGGGTCTGCATCGGGGGTTGATAGATCTCGGGGGCGGAGGAGACCCGGTATGGGCTTGGAGGAGCGGCGGGAATTGGAGAAGGCGCAAGTGCGAACGATGGGTCCATCATCAGATTGGGAATCGACATTAAACTAGAGTTGACATCGAAGGAGAGGGCGCTTTGGTCCCAAGGCGAGTAGTTCGAAGTCATTGCATACTGATAATTGACCACCGGTTCTAGGTTCACGGTGGGCTCGGGCTGATAGAGAAGGTCATAGTGGCCCCTGGAATGTCCCGGTTAGTGAATATAGCAAGATCTCTGTGTTCGCAACTCACGGGCGGTATAGCAACCGAATCGTTCCAGCAACGGGCCGATTCGGCGTCAAGAGGTGAGGCGTGACCACGTCGCCTTCGCTGCGGTCAAGATACAGGATTTCTACTGCGAAATCGGATCCCTCGATTACCCCGTCGACCAATGCTTGAAGGCCGACTTCATCAATCTCAGTTCTGACGGTCTCTATCCGCGTTCCACAATACTGATCAATGGGTAAAGACAGAAATGCTTGGTACCGATGAGGGTTGAGTTTCATCCAAGCACTCGTTAGAAGCTATAATTTGGAGCAAATTCGTCCTCGTCAGTGGGAAAGAAACAAACAAGACATTGAGTGGACAGCTCTGCGTTGAAAAGGGCACTGACTCTGAAATGAGTGATGATGGCACTCGAGTTATATTCTGAGTTGAACGCGTCCACCAAAAATGAGTCATCCCGGATTCCATTCTGGATTGCTTCGGTTATTTGCGAAAAGACTTGCTCCGTCTCATCCACAAAAATCTCATACAAATGTTCTTGCTGGCCAACTTGATCTAGAAGGACATTCAACGACTTGATCCGGAGCAACTCGCGCTGAACCTGAAGGGTGTTCCTAAGATTGAAGAGGTTCTCGAAATATCCAAACGCAACGGCTGCATAGGGTCAATAAGAGTCACAAGTTGAGATACGAAGAATAGTTTACCTCTCCATCCACAGTTCCCGTCACCCTTCATGATACGAGAAAACGGGTGCGTCGCAGCCAGTGCCTGGTGGCAAGTTGTCAGAGAGCCTTAAGAGAATTTGGAGTAAACACCGACGTACGCTAGTCTTTGTTGCGAAGGTAGGATCGGCATTTGCATACTCCATTGCAATCGCACTGCTCGACTGCTTGGTCGACACAAGAGGGCCCTGGTTTGCGATACAAAATCTCGAGGTCAGTCCGGCATCGAGCGCGTCGGCTGATTGAGATGCTCACCTGAACATCCGGCTCGAACTCGTTTGACAGTTTCTGGAACCGTTCCATTTCGTCGGTGGACAGCGGATTCATGTTGGAAGAATTCAGATGGGTTGGATGGAAAGTGTTTGGCAAAGGAGAGAATTCGTGAGAGAGAAAAGCAGGCGGGTATAGATGTTGCGGATAGAGTCCCGTGGTCGAATCTTGTCTGGTTGGAAGATGGAGATGGTTCCAAGGAATATCAAGCAGGGACATCGCATTAAAAGGTGACTATAGTGGAGCCGCAGTGGCCGTCGATTGGTGTGTTCACGGAAAGCTTTATTATGCCTTTGGTTAACGTCAGTCAATTCAAATCCCGTCTCATCAACATGACGTTCAATCCTAGGTTCATAGAACTCACAAGGCAAACCAGCATTCTCCACGTAAGAAATTCTTGTTCTCTCGCTGTAGCTGACCCTCTTCGGAGGAGTTGGACCAGCTCAGCGGTTCTTTAGTGACGCAAGAGACCTACTAATTCCACATACTTAGCATACGCCATCTCTCTAGACAAGAAAAATCAAGGCAGCAGGATGGGATCAGCGCGCAAGGCGCAATATCAGACTAAAGTCGCCAATCATGGAGCAAAGAAAATGTCACAGAAGGGGTATCTCCGGCGACAGTGACACTCGATGAGGGATGTGTGACGAATGGGTAATGGGCAAATGGTAGAGACGACAGAAGCGACCGGAACGAATTGACAGGTTATCCGAGGTCGTGCATCGAAGCAAGGACTATTCGTACAGCGTGAAGATAACTTGGTTGCAAACCCAAATCGCATCTCGTTGCCACAGCATGTGACCTGCACATGAACTAGGATGGAACTGCGGAAGGAGCCGCGGAAGCGGAATGGCAGCGGCGAGTGATAGTAGCCTGGAATGGCTCTCATTTGACCCCCTTACGAGGATCACAAGGATGACGGTGAAGAGGTTGATCTGCTCTTGAGGGCAAGAGGGTCCGGATGCGTATAATTGGAAGCTGGCGAAAGCGTCTTCAACGCCCGCGCATGAAAGGAAGCTTCGGAGTCCAGTTCGGCATTTGAATATGTTCTCTTGTGTGCCGCAAGGAGATTCCCGAGCAAATAGAAAACCAGGGGATGGTGGATTCCAAAAGAAGGAGGGGAGACGTTAAAATCCGAGGTAGGCAAGGGATGAGGGCAGAGGGAGGTGAAGAATTAATGGGTATATAGCCAGTATGGTCGGGGCGAAACAGATTAAAAAAAAGAAAAGAAGCCAGAACACAGACCTTTTTTTTTTTTCTCTTGCACGGTTCTTTTACAGTTCAGAATGCATACATACAAGCTCACACGTGCCGTGGCGTATGCAATGAGTAATTAAGCCAGAGAGAGGGAATGGAGAGTCGGAGGTACTGTCGCCGGGGGGGTTGTCGGAGGGTTAGTGGAAGCGGAGGCCCCCTAAGGATACAAAATGGCGGGCGGATCACCAAGAGTGACGGATTGACGGATAGAGATCAAGGAAAGATCGATAAGAACGGAGCCAAACCCCCCCGAACAGGGATTCGAAGACAACCTAAGAAGAAAAGAGGTGGGATAGGACCGGCGCTGAACTGGGTTTTAAGGGAAATTAATATCCCGAACAGATTCGCGGGGAGAAGCTCCTTAAGGTTATTATCCAACAGCCGGAGGACAGCGCGGGGTTTTGTTCGTTTACAACTGGTTTTACCAGTCAGTGGGCGGTTTAGTCGGTCCACGAACTGACTAGTTCAATCAGTTCCTACTAGCTAAGGTAGCTAGTAGTCAGCAGGATGAAGAACAAGGAAGGGGGACTTGGAGCTGAAGTCAAAATCAGGGGTTCCTTTTTTTCTTTTTTCTTTTAGTTTCTTTTTTTTTCTCTCTTCAAGATAATGGAACAGATTGATAGAGGGTGCGACACGTCGTGAGGTTTCCGCTCGGGAGAGATTCCACGTCGAGCGAGGGGAACGACGGACGGAATTGAAATTGAGGGTGGGAATCAAGCTCTGCCCCATGGGAAGGTGCTAATAATAAATGGTCCAACCTCAGTCCGGGCACGATGGAACAGGAGGGAAGGAGTCGAGAAACGGTGACGATGATAAGAAGTCACAGTGGGAAAACCACATGAATCAGAACACCATTAATCAATGGAAAAAAATTCCAATTAAATTAAATGCGATATAATCGAATGAAAAATAAATAAAATAAAATAAATCAAGCAGACGAAGGGGATGAAAATACAGGATCGAAAAAAAGGAGAACACAATGGAAAAGAAAGAACAGAGAGAAATGAAGAGCGGAGTAAAAATCAAAATCCCAAATAAAAATACCACGGTGAGGATACTGTGTAATAATGTAATAATGAGAGGAATAATAATGACTTACCTACCGTACCTACCGTGCCTACCTAATAATGGAGCAGGACGGGGGGGTCAAGCAAGCAAGTTACCACTCCAAGTGGGCATGTTGAAGATGCAGCGGAACAGCCGGTTCAGCTTGATGGAGCGATGGAGTCATGGACTGATGGTACCCGAGAAATTGAATAATAGTAATAATAAATAAATTATACCTAGCTGATCAGGAAATGACGATCCTCTGACAGCCTTGAATTTATTTTAATTCCCTCTTCCCCTTTGCTCCTATTGTTTTCAAACAACATTGAAAACGTTGAAAAGATGTGAAAATTTCCATCCGGTCGATACGGAAACACGGCTAGTATGATCGGGTTCATCTGACCATCGCATTTGGCCGCGTTGCACTGCTCTACGACCTGATCGATCCCAAAGATTGAAAATCATCGGTATGAAATCATGCTGTCACACCAAATACCGAGTCCGCTGCTGGTTGGTCGACACCTTCATTCGGCGATTGTCCATCTCTTATTCTTATTTAATTAATTTATTGGATTTATTGGTTGAGATGTCCTTCACTCCATTTATTTTTTTATTTTTTCTATCTTTGCGAGTAATCGAACGGCAGGTGCTCAGATCGCAGGCATGTCTTTCCTTCTTAACTGTCACAGACACTGGAGAGTCATTCCCCTCTCCCCGCGGACCGGGACCGAGACCTTTCATGTCATCCAGATTGACTTCTCTACCTTTCGAATGGGAGACAACAGAAACCGAAAATGACAATAAAAAAAATACTATGAAAGGAACAAGCACAAAACACACAAAACACACAAAACACACAAAAGAAAAAATAGAAAAGATGAAAAAAATAAAAAATAAAAAATAAAAAAAAGCAAACATGAAAAACAGAACGCCCGATCTCGATGCAACCTATGACCCTGCGCCTCTCGATCCCCATGCACTTGAAAGCGGCCACATGTCCCGGCATGACAAACGCTTGGCCGGTGGAGCGACGCTAGCATGAAGGAGAGGGGCGACTAAAAGCTGTTGAGACTTGAGAACCTGAGATTGACTTGGTGACTACAGGACGGAGTACAGATTGACTACGAGCTAGCTAGACTAAGAAGAGAAGGAGCCGGGAGAGATGATGATCCCAGGTCTTACAGACAACGAGCTTCTTTCTTGTCCCCACGCTCCGCCGATGGTCGCAAAAGAGGGTGGGAGCCTGGGAGAGGTCTAATCTAAAGGGTCCCTGCTCTCAGCCGTCTTGCATGCAGCATACGAGGAAAATATCAAGGATGAAACCCTCCTTTCGACTCTCGAGTCAGTCTGAATGCTGCGTTTGATCGCTTGGGAAGGAGGGACGGACTTACTGAATTAATCAATCTTAGCTCGGGCCTATTTCTACCGATCGAGATCAGACGGCGGCGACGGCATTTGATCGGTTCTACGTACAGTACCAGGCACCCAAAGTCACAGGGCCTCTTGACTCTTCTATCCTGGAAAGGGAGGGCTGCTAACTAACTAATCATTGTCTATTGTTATCTCAGAGTAACCAGATGGGTATGTACTACCAAATGGGTGCATACTCGAGCTCATGCTGATCTGACTGACGAATCATCGACAGGTCCAACCCCGTCAGCAATTTTAACGTTGAGCTAACGATTCTGTAAGGCTTCCAATGATGAACAATCAGATTGGTCGACTCCGTATGGAAGTGCGAGGATCGGTGGTTGTCCAGGACGGTCAGTCAACTCGTTGATCCTACCGTATCGCCCACCTCTACTGTGTACAGTCTACGGACTATAACGTGCCGTAATAACACTCACTCACCTCACTCTTCCTCACCGTGAACACTGACCGCGAGGATCAGACCACCAGCTCGCTCTGGCGCTCATCCTGGAAGCCAGCTAGACTATTCGGCCGGTGCATCCCTCCGCGCTCTAGATGGCCTAAGCCCTCGACCGGCTTAGGTGGATTTCTAATCCACTCCGTCTACCAATCTGTCGTTTGCGCGTAAGAGCGAGGTTCGACCAAATGGAAGTCCAGGAAAATTCTCGATCCGGCTAGGAGAGGGCTTGCATATGCTACCTCGGAAGCCACTCCGAGGCCGTATCCTCCCCTCCTGTGGTAGTGGCCTCTCTTCGGTTGTCCCTTAGTGCCGTACTTTGTACCGTTTCCGTACCTGGATCCTGGGAATCAGTGGTTTTTCTTTTCTCGCTCTTGTTCTTTCTTCTTGTACTTCTTCCTTCTCAGCACTTGGGGCGCCGCGGACTTTTTATGTCCTTCCCGTCCGTCATGCAAGGAGACCTCTTCCGATTCGCCTTCAGGGTCTTAATAGCATCGCGCATCCCGGTGGAATTGGGTTCTGAGTCCTCATCTCGGGTTCGATGAGTCTATTTGACTCCTAGCCAAGTTACGGAGTACATGGTGGCAGATTAATCCACGATAGAGAAGGATTTTGCTGCGTGTGATCGCTTTACAGATAAAAACGCACGCACGGTATTCCCCCCCACTTGACCTTTTCTTTCGCTTTTTGATTTTTGATTTATTTCATTTTCATTTTCTTCTTTCTGTCTCTTTTTTCATTTTTTCCCCTCTTATTTTTTTTTCTTGGGGCCTTGTGCTGCTGTGCACCCCTAACTTGCAGCCTATTGATATCTGCTCTGTACCATTTGGTCATTCCAGCATGACCCTTGTTGGTGATTATCAAAACCACCATTTAGCATCAGGAA